ATGCTCCGTGACTCATCAACGTGACCGTTAAACGTCCGAGTGAATAACGATGAAGCCCTTTCTATTTATGAGTCGCCTTCCACGCATAGTCTACATAGTTTCGTCTAATGCATTGATGAATGTTTGGTCTAGTTTACATAATAATTTCTTGTATTATGCGATTATACATTACTAAATATGTTTACTACCGGTTTTGTGTGGTGGTAGGGCCACGCAGCAGCCTCGGCTGTTGCACGAATGGGCAGGCTCCTCCGGGTAACTACCACGACCCCACAGAAGACCAGCGTAAAGTGGAAGTATGACAAATACTTTCGCGTTTCGTCTGGTGAGTGAGGTAGCCGGAGCCCAATTTTCAAAAGGTTGTCAACGCATCTGTAACCCTCGGGTGTAGCAGATGTCCATGGGCGGCGGTATTCACTTAACATCAGGTGAACAGTCTGCTCGTTTGGCAACTTTTAACATAAAACATAAAATAAACACCGGTTTAACTCCCGACGTTTCGAACCCTTTACAGCGTTCATAGTCACGGGACAGACTGTGCAAAAATAAACGCGATAAATCCGTAAACTTAGTTTCGTTTGGTCTAGTTTAGACGCGAAGACCTGATTTGCAACACCCGTAGAGTTGCAGATGCGTTGCCTGACCTTTTAATAAAGGGGGCCCCTGTTACCTCACTCACCAGACGAAGCTCGGAAGTGTAAAACTTCCACTTCTCGCCGCTCTTATGTTAGGTCGGGGTACTCCCCCGGACGGACCTGCCCATTCGTGCAATAATAAAGCCTTTTGCCCGCTCTACCACAGTTTACATTTTGTATATTATGCATATTTAATATATTAAGCATATATCCAAAAGTATACGTTTCAAAATTTCATATAAGTATGAAATATTTTAACACTAAGGTGTTATGTACATTTTTATACTTACAACCTGAAATAGCTTCAACAATCTTTTGCGAAAAACCGGCGTAAAGTAGAAGAATTGTATTACGTTCATTCTCTCAGAGGCATATCATTATAAATGCTGGCAATGTTTCCGTATTGAAAAAATACTTAATTTCAACTTCAGGTGCACGTTTCAGTTTCAATTGCACGTTTACCATTGTTATAAAACACAAAAACAGCACAGACAATATTCTTAACTTAATGTCGAAGCACCTGGGCGAGGTTTGCCCGGATCTCATTTTCTCACAAAAGAAGGAACTTGAAAAATAAAGGGAAGAAAATAAGAATAAAGAAAAGAAATCATCTGGACTGGGAAAAAAAATCTGGTCTCTACTCTAGTTTCGACTCTGGACTTCTAGTTTCGAGACCGCCCGCTTATAACCTTGAAGACAGTTGCGAAATTTACTACTATGTATTCTAATGATATTTTTCATTGCCTGAAAACTCGGATAAAACGATGTTTTCTAAAAATTAGACCTAGCTAGATCTGTTTATCGTCCTAGAAACCCCGCACTCTAGATTTGAGAAAAAATTCTGACAATCCTTGGAGCCGTTTCCAAGATTCAGATTGTATATATAAAAGAAGAATGCTTTTATACACAAGAATTGCTTGTTTAAATTATTAGATTCATTGATACGTACGTTTCAAATAAATCCGAAAAGTTTCGTCATTTCACGCTATGAAAAGTCAACGTACGCCGTTCCATATCTAGACCGCCACGAAGGCTCAAGTCGAAAAGGAACCTATACGAATGAATCATATACCTCGCGACGTAACTTTCACTGATTAAAATCGCGTTTTCCTCAAACTTATCGAAACTAATTAGCGATACAAATCGAGCGTTTGGAACGGAATCAAAGTCGGCGCTTAAATCACGCTTTGTTGTATGATTATTAACTCATATTTATATATTTGGGCCGAATAGAAGTATATTATATACGAATTTTTGTAGCTTATTATTTGTCATGAAGATTCTCTGGCTTATGAGGTAAATTGGCTTATGAGGATTGAAGAGGTAAATTTAATTTATTGCAGAATATGTTTATAAAATTAAATTTAAGCGTATAAACAATTTCGAATATCGTTTTACAACGATAATTCGAACGAGAGATGTCGCCATTGCTTTTTAGAAATTTAAATTGTTTATAGTGCTAATCTTTGCACTTAAGATTGAACATTAAAATATGTAGAAAACGTACGAAAAGACTGTCGCAGCTGTGGGAATCGAACCCACGTCTTCGGCATCGAGATCTTGTTCGTAATTCGTAATTGTTTGTATGCTGGAAAGGATATAACAATGGATGCGCCAAGCATTGCTTCAAATGCTAAAAACCAATGTAGATAAAAGACGTTAAGATTTTCGTCGGTGTGGCAATCAGCGTTTAGCTTAGTGGTTTAAGCGTCATGCCGCGAATGCCGAAGACGTGGGTTCGATTAACATAGCGGCGACAGTCTTTTCGTATTTTTTCTTCATATTTTAATGAACTTGAAATTCTAATTTCAGTTTGGTACGCTTTTCCGTCTTAACGTATTCACGAGTTCTGATTTTGTTATTAGTAAAAATGAATTATTTTTCTTTAAATAAATTAGTCTTCGTCACTATAGCGTCAAACAGACGATCTATTCCGTACAAAAAAAAACAAATTACACCTGTTCGAAAAATGAGCATAGACAATTCGTTAATTGAATCGCATCGAAACTTTTTTCACGCCCAAAATGGCTGGTAATTTGCGTCAATCATTGCAACAAGCGATGTTTTATGTCCGACCGCCATTTCGACAAATTGACCAGAGTCACGCGCGAAAGTCTTATTTTTTATTTGTACAAAGCGTGTCCATTTATTATGCAAGGACGATTTTGTCGATGAACAGTTCAATTTTGAACAGTCTATTGATTTGTCTTTCAAATTCTGAACTACCATTCCATTACCTTATAATAAGTGAAAATTTAGCTTAATGTGGTTAAATTAATCTGAGTAATAGAAGAATAAAGAAATGGAAGTATTTTCTTGTCGTTTGGTGCTTTATATTAGTACTTTATTTCGATATCTTCCGTTACTAAGAAAAAAAAGCAAATAATTTTTTTACTAACATAATTCAGAAAGATTTGAAACATTATCTTTTTACACAGTCACAATTAATTCTGCGCATTTTGTCTTTGGCGAAGAGTTTCATTAACCTTAAATACGGGTAAAGGCTCTCCCACTGTGTACTATAAAAATAAATAAATAAATAAATATCTAAGAGATACATTTTTACACAATGTTCTCTAGTCCCAAACCAAGCATCGCTCGTACTATAGGTACTAGATAACAGATAAACACACTGAAACATACTTTTCTTTTGTGAATCAATACATGTTATACATAAATAAACACCCAGATGTATCGTGACGGCTGTGGTAAACCCCCACCGATGCAAAGCAGCAGTCGGGGTCTGGTGTACATGATTAAAAAATGTGTAGATAAAACTGTCGCAAAATTGTTCACCGCTACTAGGAGTCGAACCTACGAATTACGCGTGTGATAGGTTAATACATATATATATAAAGGTATTCTCAATGGTATGTTTTAAATGTCATATTGTAATAGACTTTATGATTATAAATATTAGTCCGTGTATGTCGCTATTATTTGCATGGAGTGGCCACCTCGCAGTCCAGACTTGAATCACATAGAACGTGTATGGGATGAGCCTGGGAGATATGTTAGACAACGCTTTACATCGCCAGCTACCTAATGTTCTTCAGGGAATGCGGTAGTCGTAGAATGGAGCATAGATAGACCAAAATGGTTTGAAAAATTCGGTTTACAGCATGTCACATCTGCCATGTCATGTCCTAATGAAATCATATGAACTCGTGGTGGTAATAAAAATAATAACGGCGGTTTTTCTACCCTTCATCCTAACCCTCGGCCGTTTGGTCTCCCCTGCCGAGGGCTTCCGTCTGGTTGGGTCCTACTTATATATGTATTATATACAATATTCTTTATGTTTATCTTTATGTTTATTTTTATTCATTATGTTTATTTTATATAATAATTATGTTTATTACGTCAAATGTTTGTTTACATTTATCATCTACAGTGATCGAAGTCACCTAGTAAGCATAAAATGCTTGTGGCAGGTAACTTCGCTCTTCCATAGCTGATTATATACATTACAACTCACAAAAAAAAAGAAAAATGTATACATGTAACTCAAGTCAACGTTATGTATCAACATATACCTTTGCAGGTAAATAGTGTTATTGCGTGTATATGAGTGTGTTTCTTTCATTTGTTGCAATAATGACTCTGTCTCATCCTAATTTAAAGGCATAAGAAAATTAGTCAGTGTTTGCTTATAGTATTTGAGTGTTGTGCTGTAGATGTCAAGATTTGTGTTTATTTTACTGTACAGATATCCTGAACGATTTATATATTGATTTTTAAAAATGCTGCTTTTGTTAACTTTATAACAGTGATGAATCTCCGTCTCATCTTTTGTTTTATGATATGATCGTAACGAACAATAAATATTAAAACAATAAAATAACTGTAACCGTCTGATGAAAAGATCTTTTACCGGTCTTGGGTGGTATATAGGATGCTACAAGCTACAACAGTAAATGCATTAGTCGTCCCAATTGTCGAGAATGATAGCGGCTGTATTAGTAAAAAGATGCTCTTATCAGTTAGATTATTGTATTTGTGCCGTTCGATGTGTTCCCCGCATGAGTTTCCCGCACATCGACACCGAACTACATTGGTTTAAATGTTTATTACTTATACATACATATAAAAAAGTTAAGTAAAGTAACAGTCTGTACATGTGTCCCACTGCGTATTGGCGGACTTCACGTAACTTCGAAATATTTTTTTTGTTATTCGAAAATAAGCAGGTCATGTTTTCCTTCACCGCTGAGCACTTGATAAGTCAGCGCTTAAAATTAACAAATTCATTGGTGCCGGCACAGGGGATCGAATTCAGGTTGCTCGAGTATACTGAATTAAAAGTGAGCGCCCGGAATTTGAGCTATCACGGCTCGGTATATATAAATATATATGTATAACCATATGAATGAGATGGCCAGTGATTTAAGGGAGGCGAGGGGAGCGGGGGAAGGGGGGGGGGGGGTCTGGTTCGCACTTTCGTTTTCTTCGGACGGCGCGGCGTCAGCCGATTTCACCGCACCACCGGTGTTAGGTCATCGGGTAACGGTGTAGTTAGTTTGTTCGTCTCTGGCGTAACTCAACAGAGGAAGCGGTTTTTCGTACTAACAGAGTTCCGACTAATGCCTCAGTTTTTTACGTCCTCACAGTGACATTCATTCACGGCCAATAGATAAGGTTTTCGACGTTACGATGAATGGTGCAAATGTAAACGATCCGATTTGAAGTTTTCGATACGCGTTCCTTATCTTTGAAAAATTCCGCTACCACTTTGCCACTCATCTGAAGAATCGAAATAGTATAAAACCTTACCGGCCTTATATAAAGATGGGTAACTCCCCGGTCGAGCCTACTTCGTGCAGGAGAAGGAGTTATTGCGCGACTTTACCACTTAACAAACAACAAAATAAAGCTTGTTACTTTACCGATAACTACTTTAGTATTATACGTATCTGTATTGTTGGGTCGACTTAAAACTGCGCAATTACTATATCAATTAGCTCTTAGTTGCGATTGACTATGTGATTTCAATGAGCACACATTATGTTAAGCGTTATAGATGCGAAACTTTTTCTAATTTATGTCAATACCAAAGAAGTTTTTACGTTTTTAGTTTTAACGGTGGTAGGGCCACGCAGCAGCCTCGGCTGTTGCACGAATTGGCACCTCGGCAATCGGACCTCACAGAAGACCAGCCTAAAGTGGAAGTATGAAAAATACTTTCGCGTTTCGTCTGGTAAGTGGGGTAGCCGGAGCCCAATTTTTAAAAGGTTGTCAACGCATCTGTAACCCTCGGGTGTAGCAGATGTCCATGGGTGGCGGTATTCACTTACCATCAGGTGAACCGTTTGCTCGGTTGGCAACTTTTCACATAAAAAAAAAAACGTCCATGACAAAATTCATTACAATAGCTAAGCTCTTCCGCTCTCATTTTGGGGCACGCACCGTTTTCCTTTCATTTGCCTCTACCACAACTGTGTCAGCGAGGTCGTTTGGGGCGGGACACTCGGCCTAACGGTTAGATCGTCTTCTCGGGGCGAGGAATGTCGCCCGGCGGGTATCTTAGGACGGCTATTAGGTAATAAGGTCGAGAATTGCGTGTGCGGTCCACGGTCAAACGTACGCGGTGTCAATGAGCCAATGTCACAGAATAACCGATCTTCAGTGTTCCGCTTATTCGCAATCAAGCGACAAAGTGCCGCTGGCACTTTTCTCCTATCGTAAATGAAGTTGCAACTGAGATGAGCAATTCCATTTTGGTTTATATTATTTGTGCGTCGCTTGCTTTAAGTTAAATTTATAACTATATAAATAACGTCTTTGTTGTATTCTTGAAAAATAGAAGGAACAAGGAATTTAATTTACAGAGTAAACAATAAACGGTATACATATTATGCAGTACAGCAGTGATCGTTTCCTACGAATTTGATCATATGTTAACATCTAAAAATGTTAGAATTAATGCTTTGTATATGTCTATTAAGAATACTATTACGATATGCGATTTCACTGATAGTTTTACGTTGTAATAAACCGGGTAATGATGTATGTAAATTAATACTTTGCAGTGAAACAAAAAAATTCGACGTATTTGAACGTTTTATGTTGTATTGAATTATGTTTTTCCTGGCATTCTTCTTTTACTGCCAAAGTTTAGTTGAACATCCTGGGGACATTATCTTAAAAAAAGCGAAGTGATGACCACCATGGGATTTATACCTCAGTATTTATAATTTAATTAACATCGATTATACTTTTTTTATGGAAAAAGGAGGCAAACGATGCAGCGGGTCATTATGTGCTAATTTAATTATATTCAAAACGCACTCTCTCCGGGTAAGTGCCACGACATCAGAACGCTAGTCTAAGAGGAAGTGATGACACTTCTGCGTTTCGTCTGGTGAGTGAGGTAGCCGGGGCCCACTTTATTAAAAGGTAACTCCAACCGTACGGGTGTCTCAAATGTTAATGGGTGGTTATCACTTAACACCGGGTGAACCGCCCACTCGCTTGCCTTGCTTCTCACATTAAAAAAACCAATAGCTGTGCAACAAATTTCCCGATCAGAAAAACGCGAGGTGCGTTCCGAACGCCAATCGGCAAACTTCCACGGCATAGCTGCGCGTATTACGATTTCGACGCCCGGCGTGTGAGTCGAATTGTTTAGAGGGCGACGCGGCTCTTAGCATGCGCTTCGGCGCGTCAAGTGGCGCCGGCGGACCGCATATAGTCGGCGCGGAGAAAAGATTCTTGGAAGATGGAAAAAAAGGGGCATTTTAAAACTAGCCGCCGTCGGATGTCGTTCGGCCGCTTTCTCATGGCTAGTGCAGCTGATAGCGGCTTCTGGGCTTGGTTTCAAGAGATGATAATAGAAAGGGAGAAGTCCCTGTTTTTTTACGAAATCAGTCAATATTGAACATCGCCATTTAATCATCTTAAGCTGTAATAACTCTTGAAAAGAACAAATTACACATTTTGTAATGGTTTCTCTTCTTGTACAAGTTAGATTTTAATAATTTTAATGCAGTTGATATTTGTAGGGGCAATATTTTTACGGTGGTAGGGCCACGCAGCACCTTCGGCTGTTGCACAAATGGGCAGGCCCGTCCGGGTAACCACCACGACCTCACAAAAGACCAGCATAAAGTGGAAGTATGAGAAATACTTTATGTCTCGTCTGGTGAGTGAGGTAGCTGGAGCCCAATTTTCAAAAGGTTGTCAACGCATCTGTAACCCTCGGGTGTGGCTGATGTCCATGGGTGGCGGTATTCACTTAACATCAGGTGAACCGTCTGCTCGTTTGGGAACTTTTCACATAAAAAAATTAAAATTAATGTTTATTTAATGAACCTTGAATACCTAACAAAAGCTCCATGTTCATTTGTATAAACGATATGAGACAAATTTCTTAAAATGTGTTAGTTATTGCCGTATTCATTCCACCATCTTTGTTGCAGTTCTAATCTGATCGTTTGTGCATTCACATGAGAAATTTTTATGTGAAACTTTTATTTTTTTTACTTATACTTTTTTCGCGCGTTTGAAAAATTATGAGAATAAAATTTTAACGATGCTCAAAAATTGACATGATGCTTGGTAATCGACTTAATCTTGGCAACCAATAATTCCACGTTATTAAACCGTTATCAATTGCATTTAATATGTTCACGCTAGAGAAGTATAACTTCTTACGTGCGTACATACGTATACACATTTTTTTTACACAACCATTATGCCGGTGACATTTGTCTTAAAATTCTTCAAGTCGTGTTGATCTAGGTGGGTAGGAAGATTTTTCCAGGGTTGTGCCAACGCACCTGACTATGTGTTGATTTTACTTTGGACGCTTTCAGATCTGTTCGAGTCGCTGGACACGCAAGTCGAGACGAAGAGCTGTCCAGGGGTGTGCATGCACACGCTTACCGCCCTCATTTGCAGCAATGTTCAAGACGGTGCCGAATGCCCGAAAGGCATGAAGTGCTGCATGGATGAACCACTGGGTTAGTATTGTGTTACTCAATAGTCTTTTGCCATACGAGGAAGAAAGAAATTAGGCTATTTTAGGTCGAAGCCTGTCACACCACAAAGGCAAAATAACTGTATATCCGAAAACCTAAGAACTCCTGCGAAGAAGTACACATAACCGGAGTCCGAACCATTGACGATTTTGTAATACATAAATAATTGATTTGAAGTTATAATTATTAAGGCTCGTTTGGGATAAATTGGGAGTGAATTTTTATGTTGCGCGAAACGTAAAAGCGACACCGAATTAATGGCGTTACCGTGGCAAAGAATAACAACATTTTGACATTTACTTATAATTTAAAGTTATTTAATTAAACCGTTATCAATTGCATTTAATATCTTCTTACAAACAAAGAGTACTAGCACAGAGGATAGAATTTTCAGTTATTATTCTTTTGTTACGCTAAAGAAGTATAACTTCTTACGTACATGTTTTTTTATAACCAAATCAATTACACTAACGCTTGATAACAATATACCAACTTCATAGCCTTAGATTACCCATATTTCCGATACTGTAAATACAAGTACACGTCACTGTTTGATAATTTTTAAACAGTTTTTGTAACGTCTTCAATTACGTTTATAAACTGCAATAATATTCAGTTATAATTACCAAAAAATTGTAAATATCGATCCATACTGACAATGATGTTTTAATAAAGCATTGCATACTGCAAGGCGTTTAAAAATTGCTCCGCTTTACATTAAATGACATATACAGCGTGTCGTTACCATCGCGACAATAAATGAACACACGTCTAACACTACTTGCCAATAATCATAAAAAAATATTAACATAAAAAAATCTATAATTAAAAAAAAATATTTTTCAAACAAACTAATTAAGTAAAAAAATAAACAAAATTTGTAAAATCCTATACAACTCGCGCCACAGCGTCGCATTACAAGCCTCTCCTTCTATCAGTATGTTTTATCTCTTTTACATTCATTCAAACCATTCATATGCTTTGTGACCTTTACAAATGAACTTTACGTTATAGTTTTATACGTAAAGGTGTTCTAAAATTGTTTGCTTTGGAAAATTTAATAACTCTGTAAATATTGATGTTTAAAGAATTTAAATAAACATTTAAAATTAAAAATAAAATTTAACTTTAAAAAGTTATCCAATATATTTGTGTTCATTTATTGTCGCGATGGTAACGACACGCTGTACAACTAGTGGTCGAAATCCGACCATAAATACATGTTAGTATTTTTTTTGCATTACTTTAAGAAAATATTAGCATTCTGCACTCCTTCTCTACATAAATAAACTATAAGTGTGAGAAATTTCATGCTCCTCTGTCCGCGCAATTTTTGTAAAAAGGGGTACAAAGTTTTTGTTTCACGTATATACATATATAGATATAATTGTATACTGACATGACCATTGTCTTTGAAATTCTAGAAAACGAGACCGCTATCACTACCAGGCGGCCTTTCACCACGCGGTACACTACCACGGAGTCTGACGAAGATGAGACAACCACCCTGGCTCCCGACAGACACAAAGACAGTGGTAATTATTAGGTACACCATATTAAATATTAGGTCCTAATATACGCGAGACTGTGTTCGTGGCTGAGATTAATTTGTTAAACTTAATAACTTAATTAAATGTTTTAATTTATCACGAACTGAAGAGATTATCGTTTGGGGCTGCTGTTTTTGTTTTTATAATTCCAATAATATACTATTCTTACGTATACAATTTATTTCACTAAGTTTACTTAATTAAAATTATTTCGTTTGAATACAGACTAGTTTGAACAAATCTTACTTCGAATTTGTTTTGATATTTTGATTATCTGCCGTTCCACTAAATGGTAAAGTATCTAACTTTGACACTAAAGGTAGTTATCTCAGTAAAGGCCTGATATACCTAAATGGTGTCAAAAGACGGGACAGCTGCAAACTATTCTTTACTTTTAATACTGATCTAGTAACTCATAATCTTAGTGAACCAAAATGATTAGTTATAAATACAACTAAAGCTTAAGGTATTAATGAATTAATAAATAATTGAAATTCAAAGGCCAAGTGCTATTTCAAGTGTAATGTTTATTATTTATTTACATATATGATGACTATATCTTAAATGACTATTATTTAAGATATATTTCTTGTTCTAAAACATATAGGTTTTTATTCGGGATGTGAGGGATAACGACTGTCATACCTTAGATCCCTAATATAAAATCTTACTCGATCCACCGTCAATCCATTGTAAATCATAGAGCATCACAGAGCATCATCAGATCAGAGGCATTAAAATTGGCATAACCCACGCCGCCCAGGCAACATCGCGTGCCCGGACGTGTGCGTGGTGGTCCAGCTAGCCCAGTACTGCCAGGCGTACCTCACCACGCCCAAGCTCTGCGTCAGCGGCCGCGTGTGCTGCGTCACCAAAGACTTCTACGGAGACAACCCGCCGGAAGACCTCGTCATACCAAACGAGAAACACCACCATACCAAGAAACCGAGCACCGCAGTAAGTTATTAATTTCTGCATTGCCAATTTATTCCTATGTTATCGTAGACCGGTTCGACTTGGGAAATAGATTTTATTTATTACGCAGTCTATGGTTTACTTTATCTCATAAATTTTTGTTTGTATATTCACGTAATAACAGGAATTCCTTTCGATTGTTATATTTGCTGTATAAAATAGTTAGTAGGCTAAAAAATGCCTTTTCCTTTATTTCAGTGACTGGATTGTTTTTGATATTACATTGATCTTTATATACTAAAATCTATTTTGCATAAAATGTAACAAAGCCTTGTTACATTTTATGCAAAATCACAGGAATTCTTTAAATCCAATTCCAAAACAAATTAAACCAGTTAATTAAATCATATCGGTTTGTGGTGTTATTTTTAGTCCATTTCTTCTGTAATAGATCGTTGCTTTTAAGATTGAACCATCTAGAAGTTCTCCGAACCACGTGTCAAATATCGACCTGATGCATATCTTTTGAGGTGCTACGTCCAGTTTGCGATCGTTACATATCCAAGTGAATCCTTACTAATATTATAAACGCAAAAGTTTGCATGTATGGATGGATGTTAATTCCCTTTGACCACGCGGACGAAACCGCGTTTAACAGCCAGTATTAAATATTATTGCTCCGATAACTTTCAGCTTACTACGATACCGCCCCCAAAGAAGAAAATAGAGCGCGAGTGCCGCGGCGAGTGCATAAGCGGGCTGTTCGTGCTGCTTTGCGACCACGTGGACGAGCAGGGCAGCTGTGCCGATGGCGGCACCTGCTGCATCACAGACACCAAGAACACCGACACCACGACCAGACGGCCTACCACCACGCCGCGCCCCACTACGCCTGTAAGTACACCCTGTTCTCTACTGCGATATGTATCTGCAGTTCCATTTCTCTATCCTTTATGGCGGTTTATTACAGATTCGATATATCTGTTGAATTACCTAGAACAAAGACAAGCAGTTATATTAGACTTGTGACCTGAATCCATGAAGCTTAATTTTATTACATATGTCACTGCAGTTTAAAACTTACTGCACTGGTCGTGGCACTTACCTGGTACCTGCCCATTCGTGCAACAGCGAAGACTTTTGAGTGGCCCTGCCACAGCTTGGCTTGAAAATGCACTTGATTTTTTTAGGCCCCACTTCCGCGCTGTCCCAGCTTCTGCCTGCCAACGGTTATGGCCGCCTTCTGCAAGTACCCCTCCGAGATCATATCCTACACCAACTGCAAGTTGGCGAACATGTTCTGCTGTGACAACACCAGGTAGGTTTAAATATATTTCAATCCATTCAGTTCCAAAACTTTAATCTTTACCTTTTTTATTTCCACGTTGCGCTGTGAAAGAATGAGAATAAGAACTAAGATGTCCATAACTTACTAATTGGATTTAAAAAAAACCTTTGATACCAGGTACTGGAAATAAACCAACTAATACTATGTACCAATCAATAAAAGTGGTTATAGAAAGAAGATTAAAACTGCAGACATTTCTTCAAAACAATTTTTTTTTAATGAAGGTATTTCATGGCGTTAGAATTTGGGATCATCTGAAATAAAGGCTTTAGATGCGATAGATATAGCTAGATTCTTTTCTTAAAGAATTAAGATAAAAACGCTAATGTGCAATGAGTATTATAGAAGTAATCATTTCTTGGTCGCATGACGATGTTTTTTAAACATTTAGGTTTCTACTGTGTTCGGTAACAGTATGTTTCGGTCGGAAGTTATGGGTTCGATTCAAGTATTTCAAAGACTTTTTTTGACAATTATATGCTTTGATCAAAACTTATTGATCTAAGTCCCCTTAATGTTTTATATATAAACGACGAGTCTTCAAAGGGTCATTTCATAAAATTGCACAGAGCAGCGAAAACTCCGCGTCCCACTACGCCACGCACCACCACCACGACCACCACGCCGGCACCAGCCGACCCTCGGCTAGACTGCCCAGGGTCTTGCGTGGTGCCACTACTCTCTTTCACGTGCTTCCGTAAGTGACAATCACTGACCATGCTTTTCTTGTTTGAAAAGAGTGTTGACAGGATTTTGCCCTGTTTTTTTTTTGAAATTTCTATTGTATCTGTTAAACATAATAGTGTATTCTTCTGATATACTAATTATTGTAATGGAATAAATATAAACACTGCTTTGCAATTATTCCAATTTTGAGGGGAAATGTCATTCTGATTTGACATTGATTTGTCATCTGATTTGATATGGTCTTTTTTTTAATGTTAGAAAGTGGCAAACGAGCTAGCGGTTCACCTGATGTTAAGTGATAACCGCCTGCCCATGGACATTTGCAACACCCGTAGGGTTGCAGATGCGTTGCCACTTCTTAATGAATAAACGCTTTAACTTTAATTTTTTAATTCAAATCTACAGACAACGCCGAGATAACGGACGTGTTCAAATGCAAGAAGGCTGGGACGCAGTGCTGCGCGCCCAAGTCCAAGATCCTGGAGGTGGTCGGCGCGCCCGAGAGGAACGACACCTACCCCCTGACCACCACCACGCTGGCGGCGTTCACCCACTACACGCCCACCACCCACGCCGTGGTGTCGCAGCACACCACTCCCATCGACCGAATCGCCTGTAAGCACTTAATCTCCACACTCACACACTACTTTTAAAGACGACTATTATACTAAAAGTTTCACAGACATGAAATCACGAACACAAAGTTTTTGCCACACATTTTTTTCCAACCGGATATCGAACTGGATACGATGCGCAACAGCTATCGGCGAAGTGACCACATAAATATTGCGCCACCGTTGCAGCTAAGCTAATGTTAAGAGAAAATGTTATATTTCTGTGTTTCGTCCGATGAGTAAGATAACTGGTACCCACTTTATTAAATGAAAAACGAAACGCAACGAAATAGAATAAATAAAATAAATAAATACTTCATGAAATGTTTTGACACAATGTTATCTAGTCCCAAACTAAGCAAAGCTACTATGGATACATACTTAAAAATATTTTTTTCTAAAAAATACTTATTATACAGATAAAAATCGCCAGACACTAGAAAAACTGATCATCACACCACCACAAACCAAAACCCTTTGACGCAAGTTTGTCTTCGATTAATATTATTTTACGTGTTCTATTTCAGATCCATACGAACCAAGCTACGGGTCTACTTTACGTATACCGGAGAAGTACAATAAGTACGTCTGCGGCGTAAAAGGTATGCGTTTATTGAAGCTATCTACTTAAATATAGAAATACTGGGACACATTTTTTTACCTCAGAGGCATACAAAATAACTCAACATTTCTCTAAATTTTTTTTTACACCATTAAAATCGCATGAACAAACATAGCATCCACACATAGCATTAAGTAAAATATATACAATCGTATATGACATCATAATTATGAATGCATTTAAGATTCACTCTACGTACTTTTAAAAATTGTGTTTTGTCTCATAATGCTGTCTACCTCTGAGGTATAGGGTTATATTTCCATACATGTTTTTTAAGTGCATTCAGTTTGCGTTGATGCAAGGAATGTACATAACATTTCAGGAGATTCATTTCGCATTAAGTGAATTTATTTTTAATAAATTAAATAAAATTTATATAATAAAATTATAAATATATTTAATAATTATAAAATTATAAAGTTAAATAAATAAAACAATAAAATTTATTGATAATCAATGATGTTTAACAATATATATACATGACGCATATCCGCAAACCGGCTAAGTGCGAGTCGGACTCGCGCACGAATGGTGAACTCTTATCTATAAAAACGGCCAAAAAAATCATGCCTGTTGTATGGGAACGACACTTTATATTTTTTATTCTGTTTTAAAATATTTTTTGTTATAGCGGCAACGGAAATACGTCACGTGTGAAAATTTCAACTGTCTAACTATTATGGTTCATGATATACAACCTGGTGACAAACGGACAGACAGACAGATACTAAGAAAGATTTTACTCTTTGGGTACGGAACCCTGAAAATCATTCTGCCTTAAAGAATGAATGAATGGATATTTATTTACTTTCAACAAACACAGTTATGTTAACAATTAAAAGAATATATATCTATGACATGAAATCAATTAGGTATGTACTTGGTACGACTTACCGATTTTCAGTACATACAAGAATTAAAGTTATAAATAACAAATTACACTAAGATTAACACAAAGCGAGTACATTAGTCGGCATTATTTCCCTGACGAACTTGGGGTGGTCCAGAGTACAGGGTCTATATCGCTATGTCTTTCGGGCATACGTTAGCCGTGATAGCTGTGTTCGTGTCGCCTTTAATTCAATATACTCGAGCAACCCGAGTTCGATCCCCGGTGCCGGCGCCAATGAAATTGTCGATTTTAAGTGCTGACTTGTCACGTGCTCTGCGCCGAAGGGAACCAGCATATTTTAATATATCGGCATATTTTAATATATAAAAAATATATCGAAGATACGCGAAGTTCGCCAATCCGCAGTGGGGCCGCGTGGTGGATTATGGCATATTTGTAAATGCTATCTTAAGGCAAGGGCCTACTATAATGTCCAAGAATACATTGAGGACAAGGATGTGTGGAAATGACTCTTGCTCTGCACTTGCAAGACCCCTGGCGGCTGCTGATTTTATACCTAAATAAGTTTGTATAATTGCATAACAAAAAAAATAACAAAAAGAACAAGACCGGAGAGTTTCCTGCCGGTTCTTCTCTGTTCAGGTCTAGTTAGTGAACCGGTGGTAGATTTTTTGATGACGTTCAATAAGAGCTCAAGTTAAGCCTACATTGAATAAAGATTATTTGACTTTTACTTTGACTATGCCCTGATACCCTCTGTATAGTAGAGGCCGTTCCCCAGGTGGGACATGTGTGGGCTGCTACCTTACCCTTTGTCACCTCACGTCAGGCACGTCGTCGCGCGCCGGCCGCGTGATGGGCGGGGAGGACGGCGAGCCCGGCGAGTGGTGCTGGCAGGTGGCCCTCATCAACAACAACAACCAGTACGTGTGCGGGGCGGCCCTCGTCGGCACCCAGTGGGTGCTCACCGCCGCCCACTGCGTCACCAAGTCAGTCACATACCCGTCGTTCTTTAATATCAATATAATTGAATATCCCGCCTGTGTCGTCATTAACCATTGTACTACGTAATAACTTCTATTTTAAATTAACGTAATATAAATGTACAAGTAAATTATCCGCATATACATGTCGCACTGCTGGGCAAAAGCCTCCTCTGTACAGTGTATTAGGGCATAGTCCGCCACGCGATCCCACTGCGCATTGGCGGACTTCACATATATTCGATTTATTTTTTCGTTATTATTTGATGGTTTTCTCACGATATGTCCCTTCACCGCCGGGCACGTGATAGATCAGAAAACCTAAAAATAAATCAAATTTAAAATCCAGACAATGAGCTATCATGTAAATCTCTATCTCTATCTATTCAATTCGTTTTACTCATAAATATAATAAAATACTGGCACGCTCAGTATTGTGCGCTCTGGAGACGACTACTTCGTGAGGGTTGGGGACAACGACCTGACGCGGAAGTACGGCTCGCCCAGCGCCCAGACCCTGCTGGTCGCCACCACCTACATCCACCACAACCACAACAGTCAGACCCTGGACAACGACATCGCTCTACTCAAGCTCAAGACTAAAGCTGAACTAAAGGATGGTAGGCTCCTGCACCAATTTCTCTTTTGTGTACCGTAAATTTTACTTGTTTTTATTATCAATTCGAAAGTTTGTGATCTAGTGTGTATTTCATAACGCCTTTTCAGTGTGATCGGCAGAATGGGTTCGAATAAAGTTCGTAATAAACTTCTTCCCTACAGCATTATGTCATGATTAAGAGAATGACGATGGATTCATTCTTTTTCTGGTATACTAAGCAAATCATTATGACCATGGGCGCGTCACGCAGCAGTAGAAGCTAAAAGAAAGAGGATTTTTTATGTGACAAGTTGGTAATCGAAGTAGTTAACTCAGTGTTAAGTGATTATGTGACGGCTTGCAGATAAGTTGACAAAATTTAGAATAAGTGGTCCCTAGATACTGCATTAACCAGCCGTAACCAGTACCGTCTTTACCATAAGGGCACACGGGGCCCGTGCCCACTTACCCAGGGCCCTGTCGTCACGGGGGCCCCGCATAGCCTGCGTATTCGCTTAGACTATAAAAAATTCTCTATTTTATTAGATATATTCCGACATAAGTATAAAGAATAAATAAACAAAATATGAGATAATAGCTGAAAAATGTTTTTGTCATTCACCTTTTTTTACTTTCCATCAGAGCCCCCAAATTTGTGTGCCATAGGGCCCCGACATGGCCTCAGACGGCAAAGGCCGTCACGCTAGTCTTCTGTGAGCTCGCGGTACTTCCCCGAGGGACCTGCCCATTCGTACAACGGCGAGGACCGTTGCGTGGCCCTTTGGTTTCGTGATGCTATCTCAAGTTGTGCTTTGCAGGCGTCTGCCTCGTGTGTCTGCCAGCGCGCGACGAGGAACATGCCGCCGGGAAGCGCTGCACCGTCACCGGCTACGGCTACATGGGCGAGAGTGAGTTAACGTTCAAAGTCCAAGTATCTTTATTCAATATAGTCTTAACTTAAGCTCTTATTGAACGTCAACAAAAAAAACCTACCACCATTGAAATCGGGCAGAAAGCTGACAAATAAATACCTAATAGGTGTTTTTTAACAAGCGTTAAAAATTAAAAGTGAACGCGATAAATCCGTAAGAATAGAGTTTCATTTATGAAACAGTATACATTCTATTTAGAAAAACAAAATTAAAAATAATAATATTCCGTGACATTTTAACCCAAATTAAGCAAAGCTTGTACGATGGATAGGTTACTGATAAACACACTTTTCTTTCGTAAATAAATACATATTAACACCCAGACACTAGAAAACACTATGTTCATCACACAATACTTTTCCAGTACCTAGTCCTGGGATCCCTAGGATCGAACTCACACCCTCTGACGCAAGAGACAGGGTCCACTACTGCTAATTGGGTCGTCAAAAGATGTCATTGACCCTCAACTTGCTAAACTGTTTGTTGCAGCCGGTCCCATCCCACTGCGTATTCGTGAAGCCGAGCTGCCGATAGTCAACGACTCGGAATGCGTGCGGAAAGTGAACGCTGTCACAGAGAAGGTGTTCATTCTGCCGTCGAGCTCTTTCTGCGCCGGCGGTGAAGAAGGGAACGACGCTTGCCAGGTAACTCCCCTGCCGATAGCATTTTGATTTTGCGTCTTCGTCTACACAGTCTGTTACTTTCTAAATTGACTCTGTTATATGTACAAAAAGAAAATAATCATTGTTTTTTATTCAAATAAATTCATTGATATGTCACTTTCTTATTTGTTTAATTTTAAAAAACTAAAGAATAGCATATTTTTTGTTAATGCACATTGACATTAACTTTGAACACCCCGTAGTGTTGAAGATGCGTTGGCACCTTTTAATGAAGGCCCCGGCTACCTCACTCACCAGACCAAACGTAGAAGTATAAAACTTTCACTTCACGCCGGTGTTCTGTGAGGTCGTGGTACTTGCCCGGACGGACCTGCCCATTCGTGCAATAGCGAATTCTTTTCCCTGGTCCACAATCACAGTATTAACACTTGTAAAGCTTAGTAAATCACAAATTTTTACTAAATAGTTCTCATCGATGCCCATCATTATTTGTATTCTTTGGTACGAAATTATACAGATGGCGTGACGATTAAGAAATACATCAACGAATGGGGATATACTTATATATAATAAAGTTAATTTTAAATTGCGACTCGCCCACTTGGTTTTGTCTCTCTAATTTAATTTTAGTTAGTTTTATTATTGCACCTGTCTAAAGATCTCACCACACCCTAGGTCGACTGGCAGAGAATGCTTAAAGGCATAGTCTCGCTAAAACTCGAGAACGGCTAGACTGATTTTGCTAATTTTAGTTTTTATATATTCGTGGCAGTCCAAGGAAGGCTTAAACGATGAGAAATTATGGAAAAATTGCATGGAAAATGGAAATAGCAACAATTTTATTTTCCCATACAAACTGTACTCGTTCCGATTCCTCTAGAAATAATCTGTATGGCAAAAGAACGTTTGCCGAGTCGGCTAGTAAGTAAAATGTTTATGTCCAGGGTGACGGCGGCGGTCCGCTGGTGTGCCAGGACGACGGGTTCTACGAGCTGGTGGGGCTGGTCTCGTGGGGCTTCGGCTGCGGCCGCCAGGACGTGCCCGGCGTCTACGTCAAGGTCTCCTCCTTCATCGGCTGGATCAATCAGATCATATCCGTCAACAACCCGTAGCGGCTCACGTGGGCTGGGAACTCATCGAATTGGGCCTTTTTTTGACAGATTTTTATTATTCAAAATTTTGTCCGGAGACAACGATAAACGTTTTGATCCAATGGAACCTATTTATTGCATCATAAGAAAGTTGGCAATACAAAAAAATTTCTGAACGAAACTTCTTCGATATATTATCTAGTTCTGACATTTTTATATTATTCTACTAAGGCTCATTGGATGTTCACTTCGATAGCTTCCCAGGCTCGTTTTACATAAATAAAAAAAGATGTTAGACCTCATACATTTACGCGTGGTAATGATACGATTTAAAGTTACGAACGTGTAAATGGGATGCATAATTCTAATTCTGTCGGCTGCTAGGAAATTTATGAACTAATTTTTTTTTTAAATTTACTGAATTACAATCTTTTTACATAAAAATAATAATATTGGATGTATTACAACTACAACTCACGTATCTACAATTTTTCTTTAAATGGAAATATTATCTGCCGATGTACTTAATAAATTAATTAAGCAATGAAAATGTAAATAGACTTAAAAATTCTTTTAGTGTAGAATGATTTATTTATTTTAGTAATATAAGATTATAATTTATTTTGAGGCATTTATTATTCTTTTCCCACCATTCTTGTTTTTATTTTATTCTTAACGTTTTAAAAAGTGTTCATCTTCATCAATTATTATATTCGTAGAACAATTTGATTTACAAAATAAATAAAAATGTAATGAACACATTTAATTTTGAAACCGGTTCAGTTAAAATTAACGTTATAAAAAAACAAAAACAATTTATGCAAACATTTACGTAAATATTTTTTATACCACTAAGATTCCGGAAAACCTATTAAATTGGGAAATGTTAGAAATATTGAATGAATGAAATGTGGGATCAATTAATTTAGTATTAGTATGAGAGACCAAACAGTAAGTTTTATACATTTGTATTTGTATTTTAGTAACATTTCTTAGTATTAAGGATATGGTGTAATTAAATCAAAATATTTACTAATTATCTAGCCATAAATGTCACATTTACTTAAATTGTTTACCCGTCCCCAAAATAATGTTGTATATACACTCTTGGTGCTAGTTTGCCGCGAAGCGTTATTCGCTAACGCTAAGATACAATTTGATAATGTTCACTTGTTTAAGTAATAAATATACGAAAAACAGTTTCATTGTTTTCTTGCCACCTTCAAAGTTGACTGTTCTGCTTTCTTCAAATTTATCAGCATATTAGACATGACAGATTCATTAACAGCATCATGGAAAGAAAGATACGAGGGAGACCGAGGATATAGTCTATATATCACAAATAAAGAAAGTAAATGTTGGTTCCCAGAGAAGTAAAGAAATAGTTTTGAACAGGGAAGGATGGAGGGTGTTACACAGTTAAACTAATGGGATGTTGCACCGACAAGAGCCTAGCTCTTCAATTAAAGAAGATATCAGTAATATTTATTAGATTTAGGAAGCTAGCCAAGCATTGACTGTTGCTGCTCAATACATTTTTGAAAATGTTTTGTATGTCCATAAAAATAAGGATAAATTTTTAAGACATAATAATGTACATGATATAAATACTAGGAACAAAAATAAATTGATCCTACCCACGAGTAGACTCCGTAAAATAAGTAAATATTTTATGGGACAATGTATACGTTATTACAACAAAATTCCAGAAAACGTTCAAAATGCATCAATAGCTAAATTTAAAAAAATAGTAAAAGAACGTTTGTGTGTTAAAGGCTACTATAATATTCATGATTATTTATATGATAACACACTCTGGTAATGAACTGATCGCTCCAGGCTCTTTCAATCGGGGTTCTTATATTGTATTTTAACGAATTTATGTCAAACTGCTTATTAAAAAAAAGCCCGCTGAGTTTCTTTCGCCGGTTCTTCTCAGTACAGTGGCTTTCTTTTCCGAACCGGTGGTAATGTTTTGACTATCAATAAGTGAGTGTAATGCTCCTATGTTGAATAAATACATTTGATTTTGATTGCTAAAAGTGCAATAAATGCCCTATTGCTGTATTAATCATTGCCTAGGGCGGGCGTTATTGCCGCCCTAGGACGCGAGTTTAGCTTGCATAAGCGTTGTGTTGGTTTCGCCGTGTTCGTAAGTAAGGACAATTCGTTTCTTGTTTGGTATTGTATACTTTGTGAATACTTTTTTGGTTGGGACGGATGCACTTTGGTACTTTTTCTTAACTTCTTACTTCGTTTGTAGTAGTGTATCTACACTCTTTTCGCGTTTAAAATCGATTCTCCATCTGTGAAACCAATCCTCGAGGCGTTCGGTAGCGCTTTTTGAAGGATATGGTTATTCGGCTACGGTGTTTATTCAAATAGGAAGTGTGTCGTGCTACAAGACTGATGGCTGTCTTGACAAGTGGGTATTTCCAGATGCTGTTTTGTGTAGAGCGAAAAGAGGAAGGGCGATCGGTAGGAACCTTGAGAAACAACCAACGTGAGCGTTTGGTTCGAAAGAAGCGATTGGACTAAACGCAGAAGAATGACACTTCCACTTCTGGCTGGTCTTCTGTGGTACTTTCCCGGATATTTAGTCTTAATCTTATTTATTAAATCAAATGAAATGTGAAGGAGCATATGGATGCGAGCCCGCAACCTCAAATTGCGAATCGATGTCTGGGTCACGAGGCTTATACAATCCCCACAACGGATGTAAAAAGTAACAGCCTATACATGTCCCACTGCTGGGCAAAGGCCTCCTCTGTACAGAGGGTATCAGGGCATAGTTCACCACGCGGCCCCACTGCGGATTGGTGGATTTCACATATCTTATAATATATATTTTTTTTCGAAAATATGCAGGTTTCCTCACGACGTCTTCCTTCACTTCGGAGCACGTGATAAGTCAGCACTTAAAGTTAAAAACTTCATTGGTTCCGGCACCTGGGATCGAACTCAGGTTGCTCGAGTATATTTAATTAAAGGCAAGTGCCCGGACACTGAGCTATCACGGCTCTCTTAACGGATGTAGTTGCAATAAAATAAAATGAAAATATGTATAGTTTATTCTAAATACGTCACTCCGTCAATAAAATCATTAAAACTATAATAGTATATTATATATTTACGGGGAACTGAAACAATACGAAATCGTGTTGTGGTGCATTGTGCACATTAAAGGCCAGCTGAGAGTGAGTTTTGAGAAATTTCAACAAGTTATACATATGTAATAAGGTTCTACTTCTAGCGATTACTTTAGACATTGCAGAATTAAGAAGACAAGGCTTTGTTTGTGCGACGACGAGAACAAATAGCTCAGCTTTATCCAAATATACAACAACAACACATAGAAAATGAATTATTTAAGCAGATTTTAACACGATTCATTTATTTCCTTAAATCATTGTTCTTCCTAAATGATATAGGCCTAGAGAGCTGTGATGTTTACAAGTGAAACTTTTTTTTTTCAAGTTTCTTGAGAAATACAATTTCATGAGTAGTACAGTTGATTTTGCTGGAACGTAAAATGTGTGTGCTTTATTAACTAATTTTGTGCTGCAATGCACATCGTGTTTTAAAAAAATAAAATATAGTATAAGCAAAACTATATTGTTGATATAAAATTACATTTATATAATGACAAAATAAATTGGTCCTAAAAATAACATACATACAAAATTATATGTGAGCATTTGCATATAATAAAATTGATAGCTAGAGACTTTTTTATAAAGTACTTTGAAGCAACTTTTGGTTTAATCTTATCATGTCCATGCAAATTATTTATTTTGTACTTAGGTAATATAAATAAAATAGCATTCATTGATGGTGATTTGACAACAAATCTAGCATGTTGCCATATTTAAAAACTTTAAGAAGTTTATATTTACTATCCACATATGGTATGAAAACATGCACGTTTTTTATTGACACAGGAAATCATTCAATAAACAGAAGATGTTATTTTTTATCACTAGTTTTACCATTTCCTTGATATCGTTAATTTTTAACTATCGTTTTCAATATGCCAATGAAACGATGACATCAGAAAAATAATAAATACAGAGTAAATAATCTTGTATATCAAATAGCCAATTTTCTGGTGCACCTGTCTCTACATATTGATGACCATATGTTATTGTATAGGTGGGTGAACACAAAATATCCGCTGTCTTCAATGTATAAAGGGACCTAGCAACACTTGACACGAACATGTTCATGCGCTACTATTCCCGCCTACATTTGACTGCGGCTGAAGCACATACGATTGTCCATCGCTCGTCGACTGGGCGGAGCCCCTCTACCTTGAGCGGAGCGGCAACGCCCCGCGGCGGCGGAGCGGCAACGGCGCACCCGTCGACCTTGAGCGGAGCGGCAACGTCGCGTCAGTTGCGCTCGATTAGGGGCTTCTTGTGCGAAGCGGGCGCCGGCAGTTTAGAAGGCTTCCTGAACGACATGGAGCGGTTCACGTTCTCCTTGCCCCTCTCCATCTCCTGGCGCTGCAACGGGCATGTTTATTTAGTTATTCCTTTATTGAAACACCAGCATAAGATACAGCGTTTGCGGTCTAAGAAAAATGTGTAAAAAGAATCAATTAAAAAGGGTATTCTCCCACATCATGCTTTTAGATAAATAAAAACTTCAAAATAAAACTGTACCTTTAAATTTAACGTTGAACCAACACAAAAAGGTATGTGCCGACTTATACTTTGTAGCAGACAGTGAAATATAATTGCCCTGCTGATGGCATTGTCAGACTTTGTACTTTGTTTGTGCATAAAAAAAATGAATACAGGATAGCGTGGAGTCACAAATAACGATGTAATTGAGTTCTTTCATGAGAAATCTATGAAAGTCATTTTGTTAAACGATTTTTCACTCGACAGTATTCACAAAACTAGTGGTGACTTTTCAAAATGATTCGTGTGATATCTGTTTTCTCATTTATTCCGTTTTTTATGTTCCAAGTTGTCAAGTATGCAGGCGTTAACCTGATGTCAAGTGATTACCGCCGCCCGTGTGTAACACCTGACGGGTTGCAGATGTGTTGCCAACATTAAACAAGTATATCTTCGTGCAAGTAACGAGGCAATAATAATTTTGTACCTCATATAATATTGTATGATAATGAATATTAGGCCGTGGCTCACTTGGCGCGCGTATATATCCGTCTCCGAGGTGCATTTAAGCACCTGCCTGGTGGCGGGGGGCGAGGGGGGCGAGGGGGGCGAGGGGGGCGAGGGCGCCACAAACGTCGACTCATCGGAGCCCGATGTCTCGCACTCGCTCGTCGCGCGGCTCTCCTCGCACTCCACAACAACACACTCCTGGGGGGGAGTATATAGATGAGTGAATATTTCAAGACATCTTTACACAACGTACGCTCCAGCGGTCAATGCAAACATCGTGAGGAAGTCCACCAATCCTCTGTAGTAGCCTCTGGTATAGGCTGTTACTTTACTTTATTATATATCTTTATAATTATTAAGGCCCTGCTGCCTTTACTGCAATGATGGTATTTTTCATGTGAAATTTATTTATGCAACACATCCTTACTACATAGGGTAATGTTATCCTACTAAGAGGCGGCAATATTTTCAAAGGGAAGATTACTAAAGATCTTTATAGGTTGCAGTGTTCGTTGGGACTTACTACCCGACTTTACATCTAGAGATAATCTATTATTCTATTCTATACACACAATGGGGCATACATATCTTTAGATAGTATAAAAACAAAGTCGCTCCCGATATTAGATCTTTAAACACAATGGGGGCATACATTTAAGTGAAAGGTATTTGTAGAATACATGCATATTATAGTAGAGAATACTCGACAAATTCAATATCGACATTTCACCCGTGCGAAGCCGAGGCGCATCGCTGGTTGTAGATATACAGCGTGTCGTTACCATCGCGACAATAAATGAACACACGTCTAATGCTACTTGCCAGTAATCATAAAAAAATATTAACGTTAAACAAAATCCATAATTAAAAAAATATATATTTTTCAAACAAACTAATTAAGTAAAAAAGAAACAAAATTTGTAACATCCTATACAACTCGCGCCACAGCGTCGCATTACAAGCCTCTCCTTCTAACAGTATGTTTTGTCTCTTTTAAATCCATTCAACCCATTCATATGCTTTGTGACCTTTACAAATGAACCTTACATTACAGTTTTAAACGTAAGGCTGTTCTAAAAATGCTTTGTTTTGGAAAATTTAATAACTATGTAAATATTGATGTTTAAAGAAAGTAAATGTTTAATACGATTTTAAAAAGTTATCCTCTATATGTGTGTTCATTGATTGTCGCGATGGCGATACATTTGGTAGAAAAAGAAAAGTATGGCGAGACGCACGTCGTCATCAGGGCGGCGTCCGCAGCGGAGGGGCGCGGCGGCGCCGCTCGCCAGCCGCCGCGGGTAGCGGTACACGCGCCGCAGCGGGGTGCGACCTGCGACGCACAATTAATCAAATAGACCATCTGTCTACTTATGTACTTGTACGTGACAAAAGTAAAATAAACTAAAATTTCCTCCCTCACCTAAGCACTCTTTGTTCATGAAAAACACATTAAATACAATTGATGATGGTTTGATTACGTAACTTGGAATTTATAAATAACTATGTAAATTATGTCAAAAAGTTGTTATTGGTTGCTATGGTGATTTCGCGTCGATTTTAGCGCGCATCGTGAAATCTTTTCTGTCATAATCTATTACAAACGCCAAAAGAAGTATAACTTCAATAAGTCATTTAGCAAACTACTAAGCTTTTTCTACATATTTTAAAGCTACTAACATATCTATCTATCGATTCCACTATGTGGAAATGGCTTCTTATCTCTTGACCTGCCTATTTCGAACTAATGCACTGATGCGATACATAGTATACATCAACTTCACAAGTATTTATTTATATATTTTTTACTTGATCTAAGCCTTACTTTGGGTATATGTTGTTGACCAGACATTATTGTACCTATCTGTTTTCATGTGTAATAAATATGTCACATGTTATAAAAAATTTTGTACATTTATTTCCATGCTTTAACAAACAAAATAAAAATAAATGGCATCCAAAAGATTACATTTGTAGTTGGTTAAATTAATTACTTCACTAATTAAGATACATAATTATGACCATTTCAGAATTTCATTCACATTAAAGGTAACAAATTCTGAATCTGAATCCTCAACACTGAATTATAAGTTAAGAAATAATAATTAGAACATCTTCGGAAAGGTAATGTACTAGTTTGCAGTATTCTTTCACTTACCTGTCGGCGAGTAAACCTTGAACTCCTCCTTCAGACACTTCTCTTCCAACTCCTCCTGGCCACTTAATTCCTCCCGTAGACTCGAATAGAACTGCTCCAACTCTCTCTGCGTCGCGTTCATGTTCTCGCTCTGCTTGCTCCGATGGGACTCAGCGGAGGTTTGCAAAGTCATTATGCTTGAAGTAACACTCGATAGCTGTTGTATCGTCGACGTATTGTTCAGCTGTTGATAAGGTGGAAAATTCAATACATTTTCTTTAATTAAAAGTTTCTTTAATTAATTTATTCCAAGAAATTTATATAATATATAAATTTACTATGCCACAAAAAAAAAGTCAAATTTTTTTATTCAATGTAGGCATCATTTAAGCTCTTATTGAATGTCAAAAACTACCATCGGTTCAAACTAAACTAGATCTGAGCGAAGAACCTGACCACTTAATGGTCATTAGACATTGACATTCTGAAAGGACACTCACATTGACCACGCGTACAATCTCGTCCATTGTTTGCGTGCAGTTCTGAGCAACTGCACTTGTTGCGGCCTCTAAGGTGACCGTCAGCTCTTCCGTTACTCGCCTGTTCGTCGATGTCATACTGTCCGTCTCCACCTGCGAGGAATGTTCCAGAATATATTGTCTTGACTGTACTTGAAGACGTCGATTACTAATCGAAGCACTATTGATCTACGTTAAATTAGATTATTGCGAAATTGTGCCACTACAATTTGTTTATACTTCCTTTAACGACAACTCAACATTGATGTCAACTTAATAAACACTATTTGCAATACCATCAATGTGTTTTTCCATTTTGTCTGTTAAAGTAACACCAATTTACTAAATATGATCTGTCCAAAGAAGTGAAGAAGTGCAAGAAACTGTTAATATTATATTGCAATTAATGAAAATAATCTTTCATGATATTTAATTATCAAAGCAGAGTGTATATGGCAACTATTTATTACCTTAACCTTCTCTGTAGCTTGATTTAAAGCGTCCAATATTTGATTTTTCACTTGTCCAACTACATTTATAACATTTGCACTCAATGACTCCACATTGGCCGATACTGCATTCAATTCTAAAACAATAAATATAACATATACACAAAAAGTAAGCCAAGAGGTCTGAAGATTGTGACCTTATTTTTATTTTTGATAAATCTATATACTAATTTTTACTAGTACGGAAATTTAATTTTACCTTCATCACACTGCTGTGTTAAATTATCAATTTTAACCAAATGCTCCTTAACCTCGTCCTCATTTTGTCTAAGATCTCCTTCCGCTGTTTCACTCTCTTGTTCATTGATACTTAGTATTGCATTAAGCCACTCAAGGCTGTATGTCATTCTCTCTTCAAATTGCCTTCTCTGCTCTTCTATGTTCTCTCTTCTACTTTTAAGTCTCTCTTCTAGGGCCGTCCGTTCCCTTTCCACATGACGTGCGATACGTTCTTCTAGAATTCGTCTCTCCTCTTCTGCCCACTCTGTCAAGCGCGTCTCAGTATCTGCCCTCTCTTTTTCTATGGTCGCAATTTGTTCGGCTAACTTTTTTTCCGTGTATTCTTTGTCTTCCATCATTAGCTGTAAGTGTAAATAATTATAAATAATTTAAAACCCCCAGTCTCTGTCTTCCCCATCTTTTTAAACTTTTTGTTTTTTGGTCTGAAGTCATGGTTAGTTGTAGATGTGTATACCTTCCACAACACTTAAATGCACTTTTGAAGTTCTTCCAAAATATTGCACAGATTACCCCTTCCACGCAAATCGAACCCTGTCCCGTGAGGGAATCGGGCCTTGTTCTTAGTCGGCAATGGCAATTGTAAATAAAGCGGAGATTCCTTTCGGTGGTTTGCGAAGGAGCACGCTCGGTCTACGTCAGAGAGGAAGCTGCCAGAAGAAAGGGAGAGAGAAAGAGGGGGAAGAAAGAGATGTCGGACCTGTCGGTGCGTGCGCACGGCGGCGTCGAGGCGGCGCAGGTGAAGCGCCCTGGCGCGGGCCTGCCTGCTCGCAGCCGCCGCCCACGCGCCGCCCAGCGATCCCCCGCCCGCCCCCAGCGCCGCCCCGCCCGCCTTCGCCCTGCCCACCGCACCCGCTGCCACCGCCCTCTGCCGACGATCAATATGGTGAAGGGATTATATAGGGCGATTATAGGAGTAGCTGTTGAAGGACACGAAATTATTACATATAGGTTACAATTTCAACTATAGCTTTAAAGCGGTAAGATGTCACTGACAACGTTTCAGAGTTCTTAGGCATCGGCACTTGGTTGCATTTTTCATGGGAATGGATAGATAACATATCTACTATGTCTTTATTTTCACTAATAGTAAGCAAAAGTATTTTGCACTTTTATTCTGCACTTATTTTCTACATGCATATCTATATCAACATAAAAATTAAGAATATGTATATGGCCCTAAAACTATAAATATCTAACCACTTCTTACCCATTCCTCCAAGTAAGAGATAACGGCTGCCTGCAGGTCCAACTCTGCAACATTCCGCAGCACCCCAACTGTGTTGTGTGCAGTTTGTTCTAAACCGCTCTGCAGCTGCCCACTCTGCGTTTGCAGTGTGGTTCGCATCTGTTCTTGTTGCTCAAGAGTGCTGGTGTTCATGTCTGTTAGCAGTTTGTTCTCTAATTGGGCAAGCTGAAGACCAAATTTGCGGTTGATAAAACAGGAATTCAGCTTCAACAAAATATTTAAAAATTAATCGAGTACAACATACCGAACTCATCGCTTCCGTCGCATTCCTAACTAACTCATCCAATTTATTTTTACTATCCTTATATGCTTGTATGTTCTCAGTAGTGTGATGTTCTGAAAAAAAATTTTGCATTTCAATTAGGACAGTTTTATGTAAGAGAATTCTTGATTGCGATGTTTAATTGAAGTTAATTTATTTAAGATTAATTTTTATTTTTAGTGCTAGTCTCTGAACTCACGATGAAACTTTAAATTGAAAATTTTTGTAAATTTATTCATTTATTTATTTATTTATTTACACACTATTTTGTACTAACTGGTACAAACGGCGGGCTTAATGCCATAAGGCATTTTCTACCAGCCAACCGGAAAGTTAGTGAAAGAGAAGTGTAGGTGCTAGCTATATAAGGATTATATAATATGTATACATACATTATGATAACAATTATTAAACACTTACAACAATAAATATTATAATAGGTAAATATATATGTATATATATATATATATATATATATATATATATATATATATATATATATATATACGTACATAAAACGGAAATATCTATCAAACGTTATCCATACTACTGATCATAAGACGACGAATTAAAATATTCCTTAACTTTAGCTTTAAAAATAAATTTATTCGGTGATTTTCGAATATCACGAGGAAGGGCGTTCCAGAGTCGAGCAGCTGTAACAGCGAAGGATTTAGAGGGAAAACCGGTACTGTGAGAAGGAATAAGCAACGTAAGATTACCAGCAGATCGAAGATTGCAGCAATGAGAGGTACCCAGGTACTGAAATTTAGACTTCAGATACGCTGGGGCAAAAGGATCGTTAATGATACTATAAAGCGTACAGAGGATCCGAAGATTCCTCCGTTGGGAAATATTCAACCAGTTTAGTTGAGAGCGATATGATGAAATATGGTCAAACTTTCGAACACCATAAATGAAGCGAATACATTGATTAAGGAGGCGATCCAATTTGCTAAGAACATCCATGTTTGCATCTGAGTAACACACATCAGCGTAATCGAGATGTGGAAGTATAAGTGATTGAACTAAAAGTTTTTTAGTATAAGGTGGTAAGAAATTTTTAAATCTATATAATTGTCTCAAGTTGGAATAAACTTTACTGCTGACTTCATTAACTTGCGCTCGCCAGCTGAGCGAGGAATTAATAGTTAACCCAAGATTCTTAACTTTTGGTGAAAAGGGAATGACTTGATCATTGTACATCACGGGCATCACGCAATTATAATCTATTTCGCATAACTGACGTTCGCTCCCTAGAATTATGGCTTGGCATTTGGTGGGATTTACAGTAACACCGTACTTTTTCGACCAGTTGAAAATATACTCGAGATCAGAGTTAATCTGGGTAACAGCATCATGTAAATGCGCTGCTTCAGCCTGGGCATACAGCTGCAGGTCGTCGGCATACAGATGGTAAGAGGAGCGAAGATTACATGTAACAGAATTTATGAAAAATGAAAAAAGTATTGGTGACAGTATTCCGCCTTGCGGAACACCGGTGGCCAGATCGCACCAACTGGAGAACTTTCCATCGACACGAACCGCCTGCCGGCGACCACGAAGATAAGAACAGAACCAATTCAGTGCTGAGGATGAAAATCCTAGGTGAGATAAGATGGCAAGAAGGATGTCATGGTCAACAGCATTAAAAGCGTTGGAGAAGTCGATCAGTACTAATACTGTCACCCTGCCATCCCCCATACCATGTCGCACATCGTCGGTAACCGCTAATAGAGCAGTAGTGGTACTATGACCCGGCCGAAACCCCGATTGGAACTTATTCAACAGGTTGTTCTCATGAGCGAAGGTGCAAACTTGTTTAAAAACAATAGTCTCTAAAGTTTTTGATAAAAACGGCAAGATAGAAATAGGCCGGAAATGATTCGGTGAACTGGGTTTACTAATTTTGGGAAGCGGGATAACAAAAGCATTACGCCAACAGATAGGAAATTCCCCAGATAGCATCAAATGATTAATAGATAATGTGATAATGGGTACAATCTGGTCCAAAACATGAAATATCATGACACGGCCTATTTCATCACAACCTACTGCCTTAGATTTAATCTGTAAATAAATGAACAAAAACTTTCGCCGCTGCGGGATTCGATCGAGCGTCTTTTGGATTCGCGCCCCGACTTGTGTGGTTGAGGCTGAAATGATGATGTCTTTTATTATGTGAGACAGAGGCTAGCGAGTTGACGATTCGCCTGATGTTAAGTAACAACCGCCGCCTATCGACATTTGCAATACCTGTAGAGTTGCAGATGTGGGCTCTGGTTACCTCCTTCACCAGACGAAACGCAGACGTATAACGCTTTCACTTCAGCCGGTTTTCTGTGAGCTCATGGTACTTCCCCAGACGGCATTTTTTTTTAATGTGAAAAGAAGTTACGGTGGTAGGGCCACGCAGCAGATTCGGCCGTTGCACGAATGGCCCTACCATGGCGTATCATGATACGATGATGCACATTTGAGGTGTGCTCACCTAGGGCTTCCCGGGCCCTGTGCAGAGAGGCGGCCAGGGCTCCGGCGCAGGCGTCGGCGGCGCCGCCGAGCCGCTCGCGCCGCTGGGCGCAGGCCGCGCGGAACCCAGCCGTCAGCTCCGCGTTGCGCGCCTCCACGGACCTGGGACCGCAACGCGCATGTTTACAGTGTTACCAACTGTTCAAAAAAAATACCCCCAAAACAATTCAAAAACCCACTAACGGCCCCACGGAAGATCGGCGCGAAGTGAAAGTGTTAAACTTTCGCGTTTCGTCCGGTGGGTGAGATAGCCCAGGGTCCACAGTGTTGAAGGTTGTTGACGCATCTGCAAACCCCAGGGTGCTGTCAGCGGTATTCACTTAACACCAGGTGGAACGACTTGCTAGTTTGAGAAGTAATCATCATCATCATCATCCTCCTGCCCTTTTCCCACATAGGTAGGGTCAGCACAACATGTTAATTATATTGTAAACGGTTTCAGCTAGATTTTTTAGTACCGCCCGCCTGACGTCAACCGTCCTTGGAAAAGAAACACCCGGATCCGGAACAATTATTATCTGTGAGTCACCGAAATACTTGTCCGGTATGGTAATCAAACCTACGACCCCCGACGCCGAAGTTAACTCAACAACTTATGAAATAAAAAAGTGGGTCGATAATGACTTGCGCTTGTCGAAGGCGTCGTGCAGGAATTGCAGATGCGAGGTGGCCTGGTCCGCCGCGGCCAGGATCTGGCGCGCCTGCGCGCTCAGCTCTCTCTCCACCCTCCGCTGGAACTCCAGCAATTGTTTCTGTTCCTCGAACTGGCTTTGCGTGCTCTGCAGCATCTGCGGCGATCAGAGTGTTCATTGGCTTAGTATGTCTCGATAAAATAATCTATTCAGGGCAAATTTTAAATAATCTTCAATTACATTGTTTTTATTACATATCAATCAAAAAAACATACATAATTGACAGGCATTTTTCTCTCCAAGTCATAGGTTTCTTAGCAATATCCAGAGGCATAATGATAAAACATATAATTATTATGTAATTTGACTTAAATTCCTCAGAAGTTACACAATCAAAAAAGAACACACTAAATATTAAATGGTATACACATCCATACTAAAATTAAACTAGAGGCAGTAAACAAAATGAGGCAACAGTGATCTACTATATTGATAGCTAACAATGGTAAGGTATTGGCTTTCAACTTATTGGGTTCGATTCCCACACTGGACAACTATTTGTGCGACCCACAGATAGTTGTTTCGCATCTGGGTGTTTGTCCTCATGCAATTTATATTTGTAAAATGTCTTTACAACACAGGATAATGTTATCCTAAAGTGAGGGCAATGTTTTAAGAAAAAATCTAAGTTATGTAATCCTGTCCCATCTCTAGTTAAATTAAGAAGCTCATATTTTATCTTACATTGCACGTGTTGGCGAGCTGCATCTTGGTTTTGTTTAGAATATCTCTTGTGTTGTTGAGCTCACTCTCCCTCTCTTGCAGCTTCTGGCCCTGATCGCTGAACACAGACTCCATGCGGTCTCTCTCCTCTTCCATGGCTCTCTTCCTCAGCAGGAGCTCTTGTATCTCTTTCCTTTGTTCCTCTTGTTTCAGCGTCATCTCGGCGAAGGTTTCATTTGCGAGATACACGCCTGTCATTTGGACAGTACATTTAAAGTTAAATTATGGCTATCAGATTACATAAAAACTGAACAATTTATGTGTGTAAAACTGTATAACAGGATGTTCCTGGTGATGGGTGCCAAATAAAAAGTAGTTCAAGACTGCTGCGTGTGGGCAATAATTTCACACTGCACAATGTACAGTTTCAGGAGCGTGTAAAAGTAAAGTAACACCTATATACGCCCCATTGCTGGGCAAACGTCTCCTCTATACAGAGGGTATTATACTACGGGGAGCCACTGCGGATGGCGGACTTCACATATCTTCGAAATATTTTTTTTATAAATATTTAAGTCAGCGCTTAAAATTTAAAATTTCATAGGTGCTTGCACCATTATTTAAAATCTGGTAGCTCAAGTATATCTAAATAAACGTGGGCGCCCGGACTCTGACCTTTCATGGCTATTAGAAGCGATTATAATACAGTAATTTGCATATCAATGTACAAAATTAAAAAGGACTAACCGTTTTTGTCTCTAGCAGCTTGCAGATCCCGCTTAAGTCGGTCAATTTCCTCTGCATACTCCTTAAGAATGGCCTTCTTGGTCATCTTCTGGTTGACCTCAGGCTTGTTCTGGATGTTCTTGGCGCGGTTAGCATACTCCAGGGTGCTCATCGTCTCCTCGAGGTCCTTGTGACCCGGAGAAACGGTCGCGATGATGGACGTCTTGGTGCGACCGCCCAGAGACTCCTGCAGGATCCGCGTCAGCTTTGACTCCCTGCAAAAGTTAAGCGTGAGATTAAAACAAAATGTATACAAGTTTATAATTCGTGTTAAACCTAATAGAATAAAGTTGCGTCAAAATCTAAATCAAATTGATATCATCTAAATCAAAATGAAAATCAAAATGATTATAGAAACTCAATTAGTTCTCAAATAGCATAGTGTTTCGTTTTTCTTTGGGAACGCTCTTGTTAGATAAGATAATCCAGTTTTTTAAACGCAAATTATACAAGGTGAAAATCCCTGGTTCCAGAACTACTTTTTCTCAATCTCAGTCTATTAATAGCGATGCGTAGATCGAGTTATAAAATTAGTTTATCTGCATGGTAAAATCGAGATGACTCTGTGACGCAGTTGCTAAGGTATTGGCACACCTGCGGCCGTAGGTTCGATTACCATTAATAGTACGGATCTTTATTGTCCATGTGATATTTACTATTTTGATTATGTTATTCTACAGTTACGGGCAATGTATTCAAAGGGAAGACTACAATAGATCTTATAGATCGTTTTGTCATTGAAACTTACAATGTAACATCATCCATACAAAAATACAAATGCAATAAAGTAAGATCGAAGAACTTATAAAATTATTAGACTATATTTCTTAAAAGAAACTTTCGGGGATTAGAGCATCGCATTAGAAAAAGCCTCAACTGCATTATATAAATAAATATTTTAGGACACATTTTTAACACAACTTTCTCTAGTCCCAAACTAAGCAAGCAACACTTGTACTATGGGTACTAGAAAACTGACAAACAAACAGACAATGGAAAAACACAATGTTTATCGCACAATATTTTTCCAGTATTGGGGATCAAACCCACACCCTCTGGCGAAAGAAGCAATTCACTACCCACTACGCCAATCGGATCGTCAGTATACTGAATCTAAAGAAACTTATATTTGATTATAAAATAAGGGGGTATAGAACATTAGATAAGCGTTAGAAACAAGCCTCAAATATAATTAAGGATTCAACCTTAATACCTGTACGGAATGTGGGGGTGGCGCTCGACCAGTGCGGTGATGACGCGGCCGAGGGTTAGTAGCGACTGGTTGATGTTGACGCACTCGCGCGCCCGCTCGCGCTTGGCCGGGTTGTCGGAGCCCGCCTTGCTGATGTTCTCCGAGCCGGCCAGGTCCACCAGGTTCAGCTTGCCGATCTTCACCAGCTCCTCGCCCTCGGGGCTGTTCTCCTTCATGTGCACCACGATCGTGAACACCGTGTGCGAGCGGCTGGGGACATGGGCATTTGGATGTTTTAATGTTTTCTTTGGCGCGACCGCTGGCTCAGATGCAGTCTTTTTGTAAGGACGGTATTGGAAATGTGCTTTATATTGTTATGAACACACAAAGGAACTAACGCCATCTAGCGTCAACTATTAAAATCACTAAAGAACAAAGACGACATAAAACCCCCTATTCAATACTAGATGGCGTTAGAGGAACTGCTGTGGAACTATAGTCTCGAAAACCGGGTACATTCGCGAACTTTCCGGAATCACGAACATGTTCGGGCGTGTCGGGTACGTTCCAGGAAGGATCTTTCTGGATTAGTCTGGAACCGGTCTCGGCCCATATAAAAAGCCGCGGGGAGGCGAGCGAATACAGTTCAGTTTGAGCTACCTTCGAGGCGACTTCGGAGCGAAAACTAGTGATCAAGAGCGATACCAGTGAAACCTACGACTTGGCTACAACCTAGGACATCGTTAGTGCTTAGTGTTTGGATCTAGTGCTTTGTGTTGGACCTAGTACTAGTAAATAAAGTCTTCAAAAGAGTCAGCAGGTCTTTCTCTCCAAATCCTTCGAACCCCTAACACGTAACAATATAGACGATTCGCGTATAGTAAAACAATGAAAAATGCATACAATTCAATATCTTAACGGGGCTCTGAAGGCAGTGTGTATTATCAGCGTGAGCCGAAGCGATTGGTTCACGAAAGTGGACATTTATGCATGAATAATGCGCAAGCTTTTGCGCCACTACGCCGCATCTTGTTTGTCGTTCAAGTTGTTTGGCGAACACTAATACTATATAAATAGTTGCGATGTTGCGGAGGGTTTCACAAAGTCCTGAGTATCAAGTATTGTATCAACTATCATCACAGCTATATAATATAGCAACGCTAATGACGAGGTGACCATTTGAACCAATGCGCTATCCGAAAAAAACAGCAGGAAAGTGTTTATGTTGTATTGGTCATGCAGAAAACCCTCTACCATCAAAGTGTATCTAATTATTAATATTTTTTTTCGTTTTAAACATTTATTTCCTTAAAACATTACTCAATAATAAAACAATTACCCCAGTTGCTACAACACTCAAATTAACACAAAAACTACATTTGTATTACAGTATCACATTCACAAATCTAATCTCTATATACAGGCATGCTAAAATATGACTGAACAAACTCTCAAAACCAGTTACGAATATTCTAAACATAAAAGATTAGAATATTCGTAATTAAGGTTGTAAGTTCAACATCTGCTATCAGATATATTGTTACACCTAAGAATTAAAGAGAAAAAATATCGAGTATTAAGAATATAAAATACTCTAATATTTCAAATCAAATAAAATTGTTTGAAAGAAAGCTATACTTCTGCTACTTTTACATAGCTTTGTATATGCTTCCTCATAAAGAACATTGCAGTAACCACATAAAACAATAATAATAATGAAATTGTTTACGGTTAGAGGAAACATAAACAAGCCAATATAGAAATATCGATGTTTGTGAACTTACAATATTTGTCTCTTTACTTTTGCACTGAGCTGGTTACTGCAATGATCAAAAATGTTTGTTGGTGTCTTTATTTCACTAAAGACTTGAATTTGAAAAAACCAACTGTGTATTTGGAAATGAGATTTGTTATTGGTTCATGGGAGTGTAGAAGTTTGCGTCTTTCGGGTTAGTGAAATATAAATAAAGAACACGATTTTAGTCCCCATCTGAACATATGCCTCCCTACAGACTGCTACAAAGCACGACCCTGAGCCACCTGCATCAATCAACTATCAGCACATTTCCAGAGGTTGTCACCTCGTCTATTTGGTGTTGTTTTACAATGGAGATGGCCAATAAGACGCTTTGCACCCACCCTTTACTTATACATAAGATATGTTACGTGTTATGTAAACATATTACGTTTTTTACACCCCAATATTCTTTAAAAACATTTCTTACATATTGATTTAAATGCGTGACACATGAGCTATTGTGTTCACCTGGCAAAGAGGAAGGATTCCTATCGTTTTTGGTACTTAACAGGTACATAGGATATGATTATAGCTATCTGTCTAATACTCACCTAGATTGCGCGTTCATCAGCGTTGACGCGACCCTCTTCCGCTCTTGTCCCTGCGACATAATCTTGTACACCTCGTTCTTGTTGTATACCTGAATGTAAAAGATAAGATATAGGTAACTAGATCAAGTTTGGTAGGTTTAGGACCTATTCGGTGGTAGGGCCACGCAGCATCCTCGGCTGTTGTACGAATGGGAAGGCTCGTCCGGGTAAGTACCACGACCTCACGGAAGACCGGCATAAAGTGGAAGTATAATACTTTCGCGTTTCGTCTGGTGAGTGAGGTGGCCAGAGCCCAATTTATCAAAAGGTTGTCAATGCATCTGCAACCCTCGCGTATAGCGGATGTCCATGGGCGGCGGTATTCTCTTAACATCAGGTGAACCGTGTACTCGCTTGGCAACTTTTCACATAAAAAAAAATCGATAGAATTTGTTCTATCTTTTCCAGTACTTAGATGGATATGTATGATTATAGTTATGAAGATGAGAAAATGACAACAAATGTGCTCGGTAAGGGATGTACCCTTATCATCAGCCGAGCCATTCCTTTGTTGCCACCTTCTACCTTAAAACCTAATCAACTAGGCCGGTACAGCATCCTGGGGTCTCACCGTTATCTCCTCCAGCCCGTTGACGATGTTGGAGCCCTTCCTGGATACGTCCTCGTAGATGCGCAGCTTAGAGTTGTCGTCCGAGGAGGCGAGCAGGTCGAACAGCTCCTCATTGTAAAGCTCCAGGTAAGAGACCCGGACCGTGTACTCTGTATTCGTGAGACGTAGCTCGTCGAACAGCTGACTGAGGGCACGGGGAATGATGCCGGCCAGTGGGTCCTGAAACAACACACCCTTGTATTTGTATTGTGTGGTAGAGGTTGGGTAGTAAGTCTCAAAGACCACCGCGACCTAGATCTATTGTAGTCTTCCCTTTGTAAGCATTGCCCCATTATTGTAAGACAACATAGTCCTGTATTGTAAAAATGTTTTAGATGCATAAATTTCACATGGACAAACACTCGGATCTAAAACAATTACCTGTGGATAACACAAATAGCGGTCTCGTGTGGGAATCGGACCCACGACCACCGGTACCGAAGCCAATACTTTGGTAACTGGCCCACAGAGTCATCAAGTGATTGGTAGCCGTCATGCTATTTCTTGTCTTATCCCCAGATATAGAATAAAATTAAAGCTGTGGTAGATCACTTTCGATTACGTCCGCATTTAATAAAGTATACTCATGCAAGCTGAGTATGAATCCATCACCAATGGAATCGTTAAATTAAACTTTAAATTATATTAAAACATGTAGAAAAAGTACGAAAAAATTGTCGACAATCTTTTCGTACTTTTTCTACATGTTTTAATGTTCAATCTTAAGTGCAGAGATTAGCACTATTAATAACTTTAAAATTTAAATTATAATTCGATTTACGCGATTACACATAAATAAATAAAACTATGTTAACGGTTTATCGTAATAGTAAAGTGAAAGTTTAAATGTTCATTTACCACAATCTCTAAGAAATTATAAATAATTTCATATTATAAAATACTTGTAGCCTATTACTTCATGATGAGTTTACTCAGCATTGAGAAAATATACGGGCGATAAATTTATTTTTACTTTTATGACATTTAACATAATCAATTAAAATTTAACATAAGAAGGAATATAAAGATTGCTTATACTCAAACATCTATTTCCTAAGCAAACTAAAATCAAGCCTATCAATAATAATCTTTTAACAAAATTACGCGAGCATAAAACGGTGGGTTACATATTAAAAATTAGGTATCCAATTACATGCCAGCAAACTGTGGAAATGTGGTAACAATATAAGGAAAGTAAAAATATAGTAGTAGATGTACTGAAGGCAGTGTGTTTTGAGGGTTGAGATTGTACTCACATTTTGCCAGGTAGTCTCATCGCCTGTGCTCTCACCGACCATTGTGTGAGTCTTGCCAGTTCCTGTCTGGCCGTAAGCGAACACCGTGCAGTTGTATCCAGCCAGCACCTCCTCGATTAGGGGGCTCACCACTTCTTGGTATACCTCCACCTGCCAAATTAAGAATTCCCCTTTTTCTTATTATAAATCGTATTATACTGCCCAATTAATTATAATGGGATCGTATTATATCCTATCAGAATCATGTCAATGAGAACTGAACAACTATTTAGACTGAATCTGGGTGCAGTAATTTCAATTCATAATTACATTGTTATGAAACCACCAGACCGATAGGCACTATTTTGTGAGTGAGAAATCATTTACTATTTTGATACTCCAATAATTTTTACGTATGTCTGTATAGTGTAGTTAATTAACTTAAACAGTTTATTCATTATGGTTAGTTGCAATGCAATGCAAAAATAGTGCCACCCATAGACATCTGCAACACCTGAGTAGTTTTAGATGTGTTGCCATACTTTACAAAACTGGGACCCGGTTACCTCACTCACCAGACGAAATGCGAAGGTATTATAATTCCTCTTCACACCAATGTTCCATGAGGCCTTGCCCATTTGTGCAACAGCTGAAGTGAATGAATGGCTCTACCACATTATCTAAATGTTGCTTTGACACAAACAACATGGCAAGAAGACTAACAAATTAGTATCAAAAATATTATTAAATAATAGTTTTAAAATTATTATCATAATCTTATTATTAAAAATCTTTAAAATGGTAAAGCCGTAGTTTGCAGCCATTAGTACTTATTAGCTATATTCCCCCTGCTTGCCCAACCAACTGCATGCAGGACCTGATGAATGCTGCTGACAGTGCAGTGAATTTTGGGCAGATACCGTGTGAACAGTTATTGCCATCGAAACGAAAAGAAGTAGCTATATTCTATATCTATATAACACAAACCTGCTTTGCATGAGGTCCGAAAGCCCTGTCAAAAGTGAACCTCTTTGTGTGTGAGGTCTGCTGTGACTGACGCACCACCACCTCCCGTCCATTCACCACCTCAACCACCCCCAAAGATTTAATATCGCGCTCACGCTGATTTAGGGGCCTGAAATAAATTTTAGTGCAACTTAAAAATTTATATTTTGAATATGTGGATTGATCAAATTTGAATCAGCAAACATTAGTTGACTCCTATTCTTTTGTTAGTTTCATTAATAAATATCAATGTATGGATGATGATGGTATATCAAACTGTTCAAGCTTACAATCGAAGTCTTACAATCTGGACTTAAATCAGTCTTTAAATCTCATTGTTTTAATACAAAAATGTCAAAGATGAGCCAAGAGATTTCTTTTGAAGTTGTAGAAGAACTCATTTTTATCACGGTGGTAGGCCTATGCAGCAGCCTCGGCTGTTGCTCAGATGGGCAGGTTCATCTGGGTAAGTACAACAACCTCACAGAAGACCTGCATAAAGTAAAATTATAATACTTTCGCATTTCGTCTGGTGAGTGAGGTTGCTGGAGCCCAATTTTCAAAAGGTTGTCAACACATCTGAAACCCCCAGGTGTAGCAGGTGTCCATGAGCGGCAGTATTTACTTAACATCAGGTGAACCATCTGCTCGTTTGGCAACACACATAAAAAAAAATCATGATCCCTGGTCGCCCAGGACCTTATTTAAGATATCCTAACATTGTTGGGAAACTTGAGTAAAGATAGCTTATTGCTGCTAATTACATGCTATAGCTATAACTGCTAATTACATGATACATTTTCAAGTATTGATGGGTGTTAAATTGCCCACTTCTGCTAATACCAAATTATTTTTTGCTAAAAAGTTAGGCCTTTGTTATAAACAAAAAGTTTGGTCTTAATAGGCCTCTGTAGGTACAGCAGACAAATTTCTAAATAAACCAAAGTATTGAAAACTTGAAACAAAAATTAATTATGTAATATTATATGCAAAAAAGAAAAACTTATCTATGAATTAATTAAAAGTAAGACTACCTATATAAATAAATATTAAGATGTATATATGTACCATCTATACACTACTACAGTACAGACACTACTATTATATTTTGCAATTTATGTTTGTGAAAGGTTATTAAAACTATTTACTAGTAATTATGAAACCATACTGTTCTTGATATTTAATACCCGATGCTGTACAGATATAAACTAGCATCTTTTAAAAACTTAATGAAGATAAGGTTTGCTATGACTAATGTTCAAGTAGTTACTTATTGAAATAGGAAAGAATTAATGAAGAAAACATATAAATTAAGTGAAATAATTCTTCATACGAATGATTGAGATATTATTTAAGTTATTATGATCTTACTTAAGTCAATAATTACTTGAAAATAATTGTTTTTTAATTTTATTTATGAACTTCATTTTATTTGATTATTTGTTACATTATAATTTTAATTTACATTTAACATAGAAAGTCGATGGTTTATAGAAACTTAGGGATGTTGAGTGTTTATAAAATAATACAAAATAAAATTTACCTTAGTCGAACGAACACTTGAATATTCTGATTCTTTTCTTTCCTGCATCCTTTTTCGGACGTCATCTCGACACACTACACATAAAATTCTTCACAAATTGTCAAAACACAAATTTTATAATACAAATCTAGTTAAGGATAACAAAAAAGGCGTCAAAGTTTATTTCAATATCAAAAGATATTCGTTGGCTTTTAGACAGCATAATACGTTACGCCAAAACGTTCAAACAAATTCAAATTTTGTATATCGTAACGATACTACGAGTGTCACCAGTATAAAAAAAACATATTATGATTTAAAATTGATTCTTTTAATTCATGTTTTTTATTACCACCTGCGTTTTTATAATAAATTAATATTTTAAAGAATTAATTTTAATAGACTAATCTATTATTTTTAACTAAAAATAAATCGGTAAACTATTTTAATTTAGAAATTCGTTTGGAATGTCCGAACGACTATATTCATTTCTGGATTGTGCTTTAATATTGTAAATAATATTTGTATACTATTGTACATAACTTATTTTCTAATTTCTAATTATCTTATTCCTTTTATCCTTTTATTTATATTTATGTAATATCACTGCCATTTCTCCCTAATATGTACATTACATTATATTATACATTTTAACATAGCCTCATCGGCAAAGACTACTATCGTACACTGGAAATGCTGCTCGTAGTTAAAGAGCCAACACAGCAACGATCCCGATAAATTGCAGCGGCATGAAGCACAAGTAGGCCAAACGCGAGCTTCAAAAATCAAAATCAAAATCATCAACATATAAAAATTCATTTTTTTTTATCTACCATCGTTTCGTAATGAGGTTCCTCTATCAGAGAAGAAACAGGCGAAAGAAACTTCTTAAGTATCTTCCGTTTTGTCAATTTTTTTTCTCATCAACATTAAATGTAATATTATACAAAAAAATTTCTTAAATGGGTCATTTATATTATAATTACACTTTTTATAAAAAAATTCTTTAATAAATTTCTTAAACCTGTTCATAGCCAGGCTTTGCCATTTAATGGGATTTTGGCGTCAATTGGAGCTCAGCATTATAGACATCTACCACATTTGCAATGGGTTATAATAAGTTCGTTATAGTTATTTGTTTATCTAACATCGATCTGAATCTTTTTTCCTAGTAGTTATAATTAATAGGCGGGGAATAAAAGTTTCTTCGCATTTTATATGAAAATTCAAAACATTTTTTTAATAATTTTTATTTACATTTAACTAAAGTGTCTAGGTGCCATTTTGTTCGTTAACTTTCTGCCATCTTGTAGGTAGGGACATGATCCCATTGCTATAGAAATTCTGGGGCTTCTGATCAAAAAATCACGACAAGTGGTTTTGGCAGTCCTCTTGTGATGTTAATTGACACTGCCTAAAGAATTCTGAAGAGACCAAAACAAGTGGAAATCTGAAGGTGCAATGTCAGGACTATATTATGATGCGGATGCATTAACACCTCCCAGTCAATCTCTCTTAATTTTTGCTGAGTGGCTAAAGATGTGTGAGGTCTAGCGTTATCATGAAATGAAAAACCACACCCCTTCTGTTGATTAATTCCGGCCACTTTCTCTCAACTTCTTGCTTTAATCTCATCAGTTGTTCGCAATTGAGATCAGAATCGATGGTCCTGCCTGGCGCTGACAGCTCATAATGAATAATGCCCTTCCAATCCCACCATAGACACAGCATTAAATTATTGCGAGATAACCCGGGTTTCGCCATAGTCTGAGAAGCCTGACCACGACTAGTCTTTGACCACGACGTTTTTCGCACGTTCTTGTCGTACGTGATCCTCTTTTCATCACCAATTATCAGGTTTTTCAAAAATGGTTCCGTTTCATTACGTCGTAATAAAGAATCACAAATGTACACGGTTCATAAGGTTCTTTCAGTGACCTCATAAGGCACCCAAATATCGAGCTTTTTTTAATACCCAGCTTTATTCAAATGCGCCAAAACTGTTTTGTGGTCAATTCTCAGTTCTTTAGCTCCATCGTAACTACTGATATGCCAATCTTGCTCCACTTTTTAAAAAATGGCATCCATTTTATCCATAACAGGGCGCCCACAGCGAGGTGCATTTTTGACATCAAAATTACCGGATTGAAAACGCTTAAACCTTTGTTCTTCTCCCACAGACACTGCATTAGGTCCATAAACATCACGAATTTTTTTTGCGGCTTGAGTTGTATTGAGTATTTTCACCTTCTTAGTAGTAAAATTTTAAAATTAACTTTTTTAAAATTTAAACTTTTTAATAATACCAAATCCAGCCAGATACAAATGGTATAGCCATAGAGATTATATTATATGTTCATACATACTATTTTCGAAAAGAGTTTTTCCCCTACCTAATATTTTGTAATTTTTATTTTAGAATAAAATATTTTAATTATTATTACTTTTGGTTTCTCCGGGTCATTCGGTCTCAGTTGACGTAATTAGCTTTAAATGTAATAAAAATTAATAAATTCAATATTTTAAGTTATTTAAATATTTAATTTTAATACATAGTCAGTTCCTTAAGTAAGGTTGTGAAAAGTACAATTAAAAACTGTTTTAAAAATTCTGCCAAACACTTGTTTCTTCCATTACAGTAAAGAGTTCTCAAGTTCTAGTATTTTTGTACTATTTATATATTGTAACCATATAAATTATAATTATAAATGGTTTCTTAGATTAATCATAAATAATTACTTTAAAAAACTTTTAAGTTAAACGGTTTTATTTTATGTTTTTTTTGTTAAATTTTTTTTTGTTAATATTGTATTGCCATCTAAATTAAATGTGTGTACCAAATTTCAGATCAATCTGACAACGGCAAGGTGCTTAAATTTCAATTTCTAATTTTGACCCAAATAAATAAACAAACAAATTCCGTACGGGTCGAGCTAAATAAAACCGTTTATAAATATAGTACACATACTCTGTAAAAACTTGTGAGAGTATATTGTATTAGTACACAGGAATGCCACTAGATGTCCGAATTAATTTAAATTAGCTTCAGTATTGGTCTATTGGTACATCTTCTTCTAAAGTTTAATTATAAGAAGAAAATAATTATATCTATTACCTCCATTAAATCTTTTTTTAATATGAATGAATCGAAAAGTAGGTTCTTGAGGGCAATTTGGTCGATTGTAAAAAGAAAATAGTTTCAGATACTTATGACTACAGTACCATAAAACTCAAATAAAGCAATGACTAAGTAGGTTCGACTAATTAAGGCAGTTAGTTTATTTTTCATGATTAAAATTAAACAAAAAACGGGAAAATAACTTCTCTCATAAACGAAGTAAGATATACGCACGATTGATTTTTACTAATATTATAAGTACTTTTTATTTTCAGGATTACAAATTTTTCCTGTCTTTGTATTTGTTTCTTAATCTTTACTTCTTTTGGCGCGTTTGGAAAATAAATGAGAGAATTTATACGCTTTGATTATATTACTTGTCGAACAAGACCGACACCCAAAAAGCGACATGATGAGGTTGGTTGCAAAGCGAATCCAACTTCGACTGAATTAATACCATGACAACCGATAACAACTTTTTGACATTTACAAATTTTAAGTTATTTTATTACATAGTTATCAATTGCATTTAATGCATTGTATTGCACTTCGGTATAACTTCTTACATGCGGTCATATGTACACACACATTTTTTTAAATACCATACCATACCATTACCATAGCATACTTATGTTTTGAAATATATTATTCACATGGTATAATTGAGAATTCAAGAAAATTTGTTTGAAAGTAAAACTTGTAGTAACTTGGATTACCTGTTCTAATTAAGTAGCGCGAGAATTCTTCACTTATAAAACTTTATAAGCAAAACTTAAATTTTGCACTGTGCATTCGTATCTATATAACAAATACACTACGTAAGCGAGTAATAACATCGCGCAGACAGTTTTTGCGTCTGCAAACACTTATTACACCGCTTCCTCTCAGGCTTTCTTGAGGAAAATTAAAGAGTCGCCGCATCGATTCTATCCGTACGTTCGCGGGGTTTTTGCAGCAGTTAGTAGCGTTATGTCGGGGCCCGTTCGCTTTTTGCCGTCGACGAGAGTCAAGTTCCCAGTCGGGGCGGTCGGCAAAAAGCCGCCGTGCTGCGAACGCGGGAATCTGGATAAAAACACCCACTCCGCTCAATAGCTCGGGACATCGATGAAATACTATGAGTGAGTTCCTTTGCGTTTTTACAGCTCGCAAAGGTTGCTCGCTTTTTTTGCGCGCGCAATTTGCATCAGTCCCGCCGGCGGCCATTTTGCAGTTTTTCCGGGGCGCGAACGATTCGAAATGACGGCGCGCGTTCCGAAATTGATGCAACGTAAAAAGTATCGGATGGATTCTTTGCTCCAAGATGAACGCTATATTTATATAGTAATTAAATAGTAAGTATGTTCATTAACACCTTCCTAGCATTACAAGTTCGACTTTTAGCGTTCACGGCAATTATCCTAGTTGATATTTTCAACTTGGCATCGATGTAATGGAAGTAATTCCAATTAATGGATGCAAATAAGTGCACGTACCCGAGTAAGTAATTTAGAACGTTTATTATGGAAGTTTATAAGCATGTGGCCGCGATGGCATATTTCATTGTAATGGAACCGGTCTCGTGCCGACAGTTTATTTTAATTGGATAAATACTGTATTTGTTTCCATCGGTGAAACAATAAAATGTGCGCAATGAACGATTCTTGCGCCTTCCATTTTTGTCAATATGCTTTAGGTTTGAGTATGATACCGTTAAGAGTTTTGTCTTAAAACATTGCACGCTTTCGAAGATGGTATTTGATTGAAGTACAATGAGATCTGAGAGCTTATAGAGGAAAATCCTTAAGCTTAACTCCTGTCTTTATATTTCTCTCAGTTTTCCTGTTACGGAACTTTTATTACTAGGTGCCCCGTGAGATGGCGCTTTACGTGTTTTTTTTTTGCAAATAGAATTTTCATCTCGTAGTGTAAATATAGCCGTGGTAACTCGGTGTTTTTTTTTTTATTTTTGAACTTGCCAACACTTGACTGCCATCCCACCTGATGGTAAGTGGCGATGCAGCCTTGCGTGTCATCGCCTTTAATTCAATTTACTCGAGCAACCTGGTGAAATTGTTTGTTTTAAGTGCTGAACTGCTGACTTATCACGTATATCTTATCATGACATATCATGAAGGAAAACATCGTGTGGAAAACTGCATATTTTCGAAATAATAAAAAAAAATATTTCGAAAATATGGGAAGTCCGCCAATCAGCAGCGGGGCCGCGTGGTGGACTATGGCCTGATACCCATAGGAGGCCTTTGCCCAGCAATGGGACATTTGAGAAAAAAGCTGTTACTTTACTTTACTTATATTTTTTCATTGGAATTCTTTTAACCTGATTATTATGAGGACATTAATTATGTTTGGGCAATTTAGGGTAAAATTCAGAATAACATTATTAAATGTAAAGTTGATTTTTGTCAAGCTTTACACTGATTTCGTCGTAATATAAGAAGCAAAATAGGAATAGAACCACCGATACCCGATGTCGAAGCCATCTTTCAAACAAAACTGTAATAAAGTTTTATTTATACGACCAATTAATGAGACAATTAACATAACAGAAAACAAGAGGAGTATCGTCAGCTTTTATCGACTCGGTGTAAAGTCGCGAGAGGTCACTCTTTTAATTCTATCAAAAATATATCGATACCGCAACCGCCGTCCTCGATACGGTCGAGTTTTTTGCCCACAGAGCAGCTTTGCGGCAGTATCGGTGACCCGCCTTTTTGCCGCACGCGAAATAAATCCGTAATGACACTTTCCAATTGGCTTTCCTACGGCTTGGGATTGTATCTGATTAGAAAACATTGCAAGATGACACAAGCTGAGGGACGCGCCTATTAGATCTTCAATGATATTGTATTAGCTGGGTAGTGAGTTTATTGGTAATGTTGCCATCAGTTAAATTGTGCTAGAAAAAAAAATTTAACTCTAGTTTAATACATTCTGCATTTATCATATTTCATCAAACACGAATTGTTTGAAGTTGTATGCACAAATCATAAATCCTCGTTAATATTAGCATTTATTTTTAATTTTTATCTAAGCTAACTGTAATGTACGGGACAATGATACTCAGAAATTCAGAACAGACTGGTTTATTGTACACTAGCTACATTGTAAATCGGTAATATTTTCACATTTAACTACATACATAACACTAATCTTCCAAGGCTAGTTTTACAGTGTGATTTTTCTCGTAAGATAGCTCTAAAATTGGACACAAAACACTTTTTAGTATCTATTTCGTTATAAATAACTTGCGTTTAAAATTTATCTGGACCTATTCTCAGATATTTTATACATATATTTCATAGAAATAAGTCTAGTTTTTGCCGGCGTGCCTTATAAATATAGATCTTCGAATGTTAACGTGATCAAACCTGAAAGATGGAAATGAGAAAAAAAAACGCATCGACTCCAATAAATCCAGGTAGGTAGCTATCCGACATTTATTGCAGAATGGCCAACCCGAGTTCCCAGTTCTGAATCATAAGCAAAGTGACCACGTGTCTTGTTGGATTTTATACATTACGAGCCGTGCAAGTCTGATATTCATATTTCTGACTGATCTCGACATCACCCATGGCCTTAGTAATTAACTCAATAAAATCCATCCCCCTGGACTCGAGATAATTTAATAAACAATCAAAATATACGTACTCTTCTTTAATGTTACTGAAGTCTTATTTATTTGTGGAGTAACCACAATTTTCAGTATCACTGATATCTTATGCACGTTTTTGTTGTTTAATTTCCTTGAACCCTCCCGATATAAAAACGGTGGTAGGGCCACGCAGCAACCTCGGCTGTTGCACGAATGGGCAGGCCCATCCGGGTAAGTACCACGACCTCACAGAAGACCAGCGTAAAGTGGAAGTATGACAAATACTTTCGCGTTTCGTCTGGTGAGTGAGGTAGTCGGAGCCCAATTTTCAAAATGTTGTCAACGCATCTGTAACCCTCGGGTGTAGCAGATGTCCATGGGCGGCGGTATTCACTTAACATCAGGTGACCCGTCTGCTCGTTTGGCAACTTTTCGCATAAAAAAAAAATCTGGCTACGTCCGTGACGTTTCTAAGACTAGGGTTCAGAGGCTCTGAGCTAGCTACGTTAACTATTAACGTCTCCGTCACTTATCATTATAGAAACGGCCTACGCAACCAGGTCTAGCACATACGAGTATGTGTGGTTCTTAACCACTAAAACCCCTTTGGTGGCCAGCTTCTGTACGCTTGGTGGGACTCCGGGATCTCCCACGGAACGCACCGCTGTCCCTCGGTACTCCGCGTGAGCACGTCTCGGAGACCTTCTCCGATTTCCTCACCATCTTGCAGCAGCTCGAGGCCACTTCGTGCTTCTGCCAGTCCGTGTCCCCTTTAAGTCGCCTTTAACGACAGGCAGATGTCGTTAAAGGCAACTTAAAGGGACGACCTTAGTCCAATTCTAGGAGCCCGGGACTACGGGGCTGCACAGATGATATAACTAAAGATACAGAAAGAAATATCAGTCCAAAGTAAGTGTCATATCTACCTTGTATTTGTAGACATTATCATTTGTCCTTTTGCCAAGAGTGATTGCTATGAAGTCAAGGAGGCTTAGTAATGATTTATTTCGAGTTATTAATATTCGAGCATTAACACACATGTAAATGAAAAACGTTACTATATATGTTATTCACTAATGCTTACCAACTAAATACATACAGAGCATTATAATGGTAAAGGTTAAACTAAATTATGTTCTTTATGTTTGTAGTAAATGTTGATTAGTTAACATCTACGATTATCAATGTTTTAGAAAGCAGGCGTTAAGGTAACAGCTGAGTTTATAATATTACCAGAATTTACTAATTAATTATTAATTTGCACAAAAATTCTAAAAGGACATGAAAAGAAACGGAAAATAGTGCTCCTTTTCTTTTAATGCTAAATACAGTATAGAAATACATATTTCAATTCTTATAAGAAACTAGCGACCCGTCTCGGCTTCGCACGGGTGCAATGTATTGTACGTATAAAACTTCCTCGTGAATCACTATCTAGTAAAAAAAAAACCGCATCAAGATCCGTTGCGTAGTTTTAAAGATCTAAGCATACATAGGGACAGACAGACAGCGGGACGACTTTGTTTTATACTGTGTAGTGACTATTGGCCTAAGGCTTTGTCCTTACTTTCTCGTACTCAGCTTATTTAATAACTTGCGGTTAATGTGCAACAGCAAATTTCATAGAGGAAATTAACTTATAATTAAACCGTCTTTTACTTAGTATAAATGTCATTTAATTGATTGATCTCAATTTGTATTCTTTCAATAAATGGATATGGTTGATACAAAGCAATTGTAAACCCTGTTACGCGTCTATATTCTAGTTAGGCAAGATGACTACGAGTAGACTAGTAGATAATAAACTATTAAATTATTCCTATTTAGGACCAATCGATTTGAGTTTTTTTTTATATTTTTGGCAGCACCCAAAATATTACTGTTGGTACCATTGTCACCCTACTGGTCACAGCCGAGGCGATTCGTGATCCACTTCGCGGCATACCCGCAGGTGCGCCGCTCGGAGCTTTGCTTAGGAACAGAAGTTGCTCCAATAGCTCGTGACCGATTAGCGATGAAAATGACGATGTGTACGGAATTCGACGCCAGCCCGCGGGGCGGGGCCGCCCGTGAGAAAATAACCATTCGAGAGTGCGGCACCGACGGCGGCGGGCCAGGGAGCAAGCGGAATTCTACGAGCGGAGAGAGCAAGTTCCCGTCTCGGTTTTTTGATTCAATAAAACTACTTTCTACTGCTCGATCGCTTGCTACGGGTGCAGTTTATTTAGTATTGTATATTTCTTATTATTTACCCACCCTACTGAGTTAATATTACATAGTCTAGATGGGCTTACAAATACGTCTCAATCCATAATCGCTTTTAGCTGATTTAAAGATTATGTGATGATTATGGATTATACATTATCTTATTAGTTCATGTTCCTTATAAGAAAAGAAAGGTGTAAAGTGAACAACCTATTATCTGTCATATTAAATAAGATAAGCGGAAAGCCAAGCGCTCACAATAATCAATCAGACTGGGATTAAAGACTTGAGGAATGTGAAGTATTTTTATCGATTTAATTATTGAGGTAGTTCTTATAAGAAAGTGGTTAGCAAAAATTTTTGTCTAATAACCGAATTTAGTCGACGATATTTGAAGGTTTTTCTTACTAAATATTTTTATATTTGTCAAATCTTTCAAAATATTTATTATATAAATTAAATCCACAGTCACTTTGCCACTGCACTATTCAACTCACACGTTAATTGAAATAAAATGATTTTCAATTAAGTTAAAGATGTTAACGAATTTAACGAATTATTTTCTATTACAAACACCATAAATAGGGACGAACGTAATGTCTATTGGAATTCTTTACTATTTAATCCCGGGTGTGAAAAGAAATTGTGGTAGGTGCTATACATTTTAGTGGTAGGGACACGCACCAGCTTCGGCTGTAACACGAATGGGCAGGCTCGTCCGGGTAAGTACCAGGACCTTACAGAAGACCGTAATACTTTCGCGTTTCGTCTGGTGAGTAAGGTAGCTGGAGCGCAATTTTCAAAATGTTGTCAACGCATCTGCCACCTTCGGGTGTAGCAGATGTCCATGGGTGGCGGTATTCACTTAACATCAGGTGAACCGACTGCTCGCTTGGCAACTTTTCACACAAAAAAAAAAACATCAATATAAACATTACTTTTAATTGTTAACGTAGCAAATATTCAATTCTGTACGATCATTTCATACATTGGCCACCCGCTCCCGCTCCGCTCGCTCGAAACCGCCCGTTCCGCGGCCCCGCTTTTTCTGCAAATAATATCTGACGGACGTTTAAGGCGCTGTAGGTTTTTCCGCGCGCCGGTGAAAGGTTGCTGTCACGCCGGATTGCCGGAGATATGGCGTACGATGGTAGCGCGGCAGCGCTGTGGGAACGCTTTGGCGGGCCAACGGAAAAACGAGGGCCTGTTCCTAAGCGCGCTGTGAGAATGCGGCGCGCGGTAGAGGCCTTTTTACCTCGCCTTTCCCGCTAGCTTCCTACCCCGCGGGCTAGGTCCGACCCATATTTTCTACACCACTGGCAAAATTGTTCAGTCTCATGCAACGTAGAAATCGTACGTTACTAGTTACTAGACTCCATAGAGTCAGTAACTAGTATTTAATTAAATTAAATACCGCATTTAGCGATTTTAATATTTTATCGTTCAATTAACTGTCTAATGTGCAAGCTTTTCTGTTTAGCTTTTTTGTGTCGACTTAGATTTATTTAGACTTTCAGATTCCTAATCAAAAAGTGACTCAAATTCGAATAAAATACTCTGGTAGGTTCTTTTATTTGTGTAACGAATTTCGGAACGGATTCAGTTTCAGATTTTTAATAGTGCATATAATTTTTTTAGATTTAATTACATTGACTGATTGATAAAGTACCTACATAAATGTGACCAACATACGATTTTTTTTACTTTTTTTTTAACGTTGCCCTTACTTTAGTATAACATTATCCCGTGTTGTAAGGACGTTTCACAAACACAAATTTCATGTGGAAAAACACCCGGATGTGAAATTTCACGTGGAAAAACACCCATATCTGGGATGCGAAACAACTATCTGTGGGTCACACAAATAGTTGTCCCGTGTGCGAATCGAACCCACGACTCTCGCCGAAACCAATACCTTGGCAACTACGCCACGGAGTTATCTTTTTGTTTTTTTTTTTATAAAAGTTGCTAAACGAGCAGACGGGTCACCTGATGTTAAGTGAATACCGCCGCCCATGGACATCTGCTACACCCGATGGTTACAGATGCGTTGATAACCTTTTGAAAATTGGGCTTCCGAAATCTCTTAAAATGAAATAACCGATCTTATACGTAAAAGAAACGTATTTCCGAACCCCTTGGTAATTTCGTGGTCAAAGCGAATGCGCCAAGGACGGTGGGGCCACCGTCAAAGACTTGTTTACGCCAGCTATTAACTTGTCATCGTTTTACGACCGCGAGGAGAGGCTTGGCAAGCAGTTTGGCGTAATGCCAAACGGGTCGTCGTCTCATTTGCCTGCTAACAAGACCCCATGCCAGTTTCACGACCAGCTAATAAATAATAGCATTAATTGAGTCAGTGCAGCGTAAAGTTAGCAGTAGTAAAAAATCTATAGACACCACGCAAGGGTGAAGGATTTAGTTATACCTAGTTCTGCAAAATTTGGAACTTAAACTGGCATTTACTGGCTTAGATCAACACCTCGCACAAAGCTGTCCCAATTCATAAAAGAAGGGTTGCCATTTTAGATTTTGTTTTTAAGACCACCGTTTTTTAACTGTCACATTCCTTATTACAGTTATTTTATTGATTAATATCTTTCAATTTTTAAAAAAAGTCGAATGATACTGACGCCCTTGTTAACTGTGACGTTAGATTAACTGTGATGTTAGAACGTTAAATGCATGCTCGTCGTAAATACTTTTAACTGGTCGAAAATTCTTTTCTTTTGTCGTACGAATGAATGAATGAAATATACTTATTGTACACTGCAACTGATATTGAATAATCAACAATAAATAATAAAAATCTTTTTTTTAGCGAGCAGACGCTTCAGCTGATGTTAAGTGAATACTGCAGCCCATGGACATCTGCTACACCAGAGGGTACCAGATGCGTTGACACTCTTTTGAAAATTGGACTCCGGCCACCTCACTCACCAGACGAAACGCGAAAGTATTATACTTCCACTTTACGCCGGTCTTTTGTGAGGTCGTAGTACTTACCCGGACGAGCCTGCCCATTCGTGCAACAGCCGAGGCCGCTGCGTGGCCCTACCACCGTAAAATCTGTGCAAAAGGCGACTTTACTGATTATTAAAAACTAGCGACCCGCCGTGGCTTTGCACGGTTGCTATGTATTATACATATAAACCTTCCTCATGAATCACTCTATCTAGTAAAAAAAAACCGCATCAAGATCCTTTGCGTAGTTTTAAACATCTAAGCATACATAGGGACAGACAGACAGCGGGACGAATTTGTTTTATACTATATAGTGAAATAGCAACAACTATAATAAAGTAAGAATGTGTGCAATGCCAAAAATTGTCGGAAAAAGTCTTTCGTCGACCAATTTCGCTGAAACTTGAACTCGTATCGCTCGAATATGGTAAATCAAACAGTACATCGGACATTGAGCCATCGCGGCACGTGGCAGGCACGTTAAAAATTCTATCGATCACGTTTAGCATGCCATATCGCCATGTTCGAGCCTGGGAAAGATCTCGCGACAGCTATGCAGTGTCGAAGAAAGTGACCGAGTTCGTACATAAAATGGCGATGCGATTTGTCCGTCCGTCTGTCGCAAAGTTTAAAAATTGGACTATGTTTGCCTGTATTTTTTTTTAAATTAATTTTGCGCTTAATTTTGGTTTCAATTCCGGAAGTATCGAATATTTTACTTTCAGTCATACTTTTAAAGCATCGTTATGCATTTTTAAACCGACTTCAAAAAAGGAGGAGGTTTCTCAATTCGACCGTATAATATATTTTTATTTTTTTTATGTGTGTTCGCGGATAACTTGTCGTTTATGAGCCGATTTTGATGATTCTTTTTTTGTCGGAAAAGAGAAATCCCAAGGATGGTACCATGATAAAGAAACCCGGATCTGACGATGGCATCCCAGAGAAATCGAGGGTCAATTGAATGTTATAGGTATTAAAAATGTTTTTAATTTTCTGATTGAAGTCGGTTTTTTTTTTGTTAAAAATTATACTTGTTATAGCTTTAGTATAATATATAGTATATAGTGATAACTTTTCGTATACACTAAACAATGTTAAGCAAGCGTTTAATTGAGCTTGTTTTTCAATCGACTTCAAAAAAAGAGGAGTTCTTATTCTTAGTTACTTCAAGTTAGTTTTGTTTTTTGTTACTAAATGTATTTTATTTCGTTCGAAAGAAACTAAAGACAATAATGAACATAATAAATTAATGTTGCGGCGATAGCTCACAATAAAGTTTTGAGCTATCGCGGCTTAGTCAATAAACTTGCTTATTCAATTTCATAAGGAAACGTGTGTTAGTTACTTCTGTATATAAATAATATTGATCCTTACTTCCTTACTTTTACTTCGTAAGTTTTCCTTAAAACTCAAGTTTTATTGATTTCGTATCAAGTTTACTTCGTTCTTATCATCGCTTTCTGTAAACAAACAAAGTAAGGTTCCAAATTTATTTGCCTCCGAACGGATCCCGGTCGTTTAACTAGTGGCGTCGGCGTGGGAAAATTCCTAACAAATGTTTAAAATATCCATTACCTTATGGAACTGAATCTTGAAGTGTTGCTACGTGGGACGTCAAAGCTGATCTGTTGGTTTGAGTTTAGTTTCTCACGTGAATGCGTTTGACCCCAGCAGCTCAGTGGCGGCAACCAGTAAGGTTCCAAGTTCGAATTCTGTTTGCGCAATTAATGGTGATTTCTAATACCTATGCTATATTTACGTTTGAAAAAAACTTTCAAACTCTATGTGTTGAATTAATATGTGACAGCTCGGTGACCGTGGTCGTTTTTAAAACACTGTACTAGAACAACTAGTATAGTGACTACTAGCCTCCTGCTCAATTGCCTCTTTTCTCCATAAAAGAAAACAACTCGACTTTAAATCTCCGTGGTTGTATATCTAAGGAATAAATCTACAAAGTTGGGGATTAGGTAGAGCATAATAGACCATTGCCCAGTAAGACGTAATTTAATTTTCCTTTTGCAGTATAAGTATTTAAAAATTTACGTCTCTGAGCTGATTTTATTATATAAAATCAAAGAAAACCACACATTCGATTTGCACAGATTCTAGGCGCTTCTCCCCTGAACAGCTCCAAGTTTACCAACCAGTTCAAGATTAAGACGACCCGAATGGCGTAGTGGGTAGTGTACCTGCCTTCTGCGTCAGAGGGTGTGGGTTCGATCCCCACTACTGGAAAAAATATTGTGTGATGAACATAGTGTTTTTCCAGTGTCTGGGTGTTTATATATCTATAATATGTATTTATTTACAAAAGAAAAGTATGTTTAAGTATGTTTATCAGTTACCTAGTACCTATAGTACAAGCTTTGCTTAGTTTGGGACTAGAGAACGTTGTGTAAAAATGTGTCCTAAAAAAAAAATTATCAGTGTCGTTATGATTTTTTGGATTTACTCGAATAGTTCACATACGCCATAAATATGTTTATTTACGATTAATAGATACTGGAAGAACGGTCTTTAATAGATGAATAAAAAATTTCTTGAACTTAAAATTGAACCATCCAGAAACAGCCCATCACTGAGCCAAGCGCCAGAAAATCGAAATGTAAAAACAACCAGCGTCCATGCGGTGGCGATCTTATTAAAATGCGAATCTTTTTGCGCGTCACCCGAGCAGTAATGGATTCCACAAAGTCGCTTTACATTGATTAGGGCGCTCTCTAGGTATGCGCTTCGAGGGCAAAACATTCACACAATAGTGGCAAAAAGGGATCTCGGGTCGCATCGCCCGTCCGCCTATCGTACCGTGGCCGAATTAAAAATGATAATCAGTTGCAAAAGCTTAATTCGCGAGGAGGCCCACAAAGCGGGCGCTTTCGTGGAAACGGCGAAAAAACTCACGAAACCGCCGACCCGCCAACGGTACCTGGCGATTTGCAAAAAACCGCCCGCGCCAACGGCGAAATATAGGTTACGTTAACGAATGTTCGTTCCGTAGTAAGGGCCGTGATAGCTCAGTCCGGGCGCTCGTTTTCAATTAAATGTTCTCGAGCACCCCGAGTTCGAATCCCGGTGCGGGCAACCAGGAAATTGTCAATTTTAAGTAACGACTTATGTGCTCAGCGGTGAAGGAACAAATCGTCATGAAATTTAAATTGTTTATAGTGCTAATCTTTGCACTTAAGATTGAACATTAAAATATGTAGAAAAAAGTGCGAAAAGATTGTCGCCGCTGTGGGAATCGAACCCACGTCTTCGGCATTCGCGGCCTGACGCTCTAGCCACTGAGCTAAACGGCTAAACGGCTTTTTCTACATATTTTAAAATTGTCATGAAACCTAAAAATATGCATTATCGAAACAAATATTTCGAAGATATGTGCAGTCCGCCATGGCAATGGGGTCGTGTGTTAGACTATGCCCTGATACCAGTACAGAAGAGGCCTTTGGCCACCAGTTGGCATTTATAGGCTGTTACGTTGTTCCTAAAATACGGGCTTTATTTTTTACACTAAATTTCGTCCCTAGCTTGTCCTCTTTATTTTATCATATAATCTGTACTAATCTAGTTTCGTTGTTAAACATTTTGTCGACAGTTCCACTAAATATATATTCAAAATCCACGATCGATTCACGTGGCCCGTCTACGAATTAATAACCGTCCGTCTTCCCTCAAGCCCGTGCCCTTCCGTTCGCTACATAAAAGCACCAACACCGTCGCAAGCCACCCGTACATCGACGGAAGTCCGTAGGTCGGCCTGCGAGTCCTCTATATTCTTTTTTATGTACGCGCCGAGGGCAAGGGAAGCCGCCGCGGGGCCACGGCCACGTGGAGGGAGCGCGTGGGGTGCTGGGCGGGGCGATGCAGCTGCAGCGTAGGGCTCCGGCCGCGGCCCGAGACGCCAGTCGAGCGCGAGCTTCACACCGCAAACGTCACGGCGACTTTTAAGAAAAAAAAAATAATAAAAAAAATATACCGCCAAAACTCGAGCGAGCTTTCGACTCGGATGTTTATAAAAAAAAACATTTCTCCAATTTTAATCTGTGCGATTGCGACCGGGTCGCGATGTCGGGCTGTTGACAATTGGGATTCTGTGAAGTTTTCAAATTGGCGGGTTGATGTGTGCGAGCGAGAGGGGCGATATGGAGAGCCCGGGCGAGGAAACGGGACGAGGCGCTCCCCCCGCGTCGCACACCCCCGCCGCAGCGCAACCGAACGGCTCCAATAAGATCATCGGACGAAACGTGAATGGAACCAGTAAGTCACCTCGCGAAGTTTATTTTTAACGAGTTCCCTTTTTCACTACACGGCTACACGCCGAAAACAAGGATGCATTTATTCACCAATTAGTATTTTTCATACGCACAATTTTGCAATGGTAATCGACGTGCGTTTTTGCAACGGACTCGATGGCGAGCGTAATTTTTAAAGTGAAATTAATGTGAAACGCAAAAAAGTTCACCTGCGGTAAACTTAATCATACTTATACTACGATACTAGCGGTTCACTTTTTCATTGTTAGCTTTAAAATTTTCGAAAAACCAACATATGTAAATAATATGTTGCATTATTATTTGCATACGTCTACATTAACGAAAGATAAAAAGAAACTACTTATTAATTACATACGAATTGGAACATTTATCAACGCACATTTCTTTACAACACTGTCATATCATTATTATATAGTTAGTGTAAGGATGATTCGGTTGCATCAGTGACGAGGTATATTTTATTGCCAATAAATATTTATAACACTATTACGGTTTTAAACCATAATTATTCATTATTTAATATTAAAATAAAGTTCGCATAAATAAATTAACATGCCTGCGTAATTATCCATTGCTAGCACGTTCACACTTGAATTAAGTAATTGAAGTATGCGGGAACAAATAAATTTGTAAAAACTGATTAAATATTTACAGTCGTAGGTAGTATAATATAAAATAATAAAAACAAAATACTTTACGAAGTTTTATAATCTGTACAGCACAACGCTAATATTGTAAAAAAAAGTAGAACGTCAAATTTGCCGCTTTTTTTCACCGTCCATAACCAATCGCTACTCGTGATCGAATTAGTCGACATTGTTGCGCTTGAGATAGAGCCATAATTTTTTTTCCCTCTAAATTCTCCCGTAATACGACGTTTACGTATTTAAGTGTTGCCATTAGCATACCAGTGGCACGCTTCGCGAAACGCCTCCGGCGCTTCTCGGAAAGGACACTGGAAAAACGCAAGTGGCAAGAGACAGTGGTTCCATATAAAACGTAATTAGTGTAATTTTTGCTGATTAATTGCATGCAATAAGTGCGCCGTTTCCGCAGCGTTTGACGGATACATGTAACAAAAAAAGTGCACACACACGAATATACGCTAAACTGTGTAAAGAAACAAACGGAAACACACAAATTGTAATAAACATTTCATTTCAAAATTTATTGAAAAATTATATCGTAGTACTTAAAAGCCACGAAGTAGGTTTTTCTAAGCATATTCGGAACAATACCAAAGTGATTTCCAATAAGTAAACATTTTTATCATTACCATCAGCTATATTTATTTAATTAGACTCAATTTGCAATGGACCATGATACCTAACCAAGAAATTGCTTGGTTAATAATCAGTAATTATGACCGCCATGAGCCCTAACGTCTTTTTATCGATTACATAAATTGCCATTGTTTATTAATACAGTGGCGCTATATTAATTAACCGTAACTGTTTACAATAATATATATAAATATATAAATATACACACATATATATATATATATATATATATAATTTATAACATCATCATCATCCTCCCAAATATTTGTGGTCACACACAACATGTGTATCATGTAAGTGGTTTTAGCTAGGTTTTTACGACCGGCAGCCTGCCTGACGTAACCCTCCTCGGAAACAAGCACCCAGATCTGACAAACAATTATCTGTGGGTCACACAAAAATTGTCCCGCGTGGGAATCGAAACCAGGACTCTCGGAGCCGAAACCAATAGCTTAGTAACTGCGCCACCGAGACATTTTATTCTTTACGTCATTTTATTTTTTACGTCAACAGCTAAACGTCACCGAATAAAGTATGATATATTCGTCAATATAAGACTTAACTCGACGCCCTGTGGAAAACCATATTTGTGTGATTTATATTACCACTTTTTTAATTTATTACCAGCAGCTTAACTTCTATGTCGATATGTAATTTTTTTTATTTATCTGTGTGCACGTTGCACGTGTGCAATTAATTTGTAAGTTTGTTTACGATATAAATGTTTAATATCAGAAGCTACTTCTACGCTAGCAACTAAGTACTTCTACGCTAGCTAGTACTGCAAGCTACTTCAGATTCTAGAAGAGCTTATTATCTTAAGTTAAAACTTTTTAGTTCTCTGAATACTAATAAGTCGAAAGAAAAAGCGAGAAAAGTGGCCGGTGTTGAATGATAAAATATTATTATTATTATTATTTTTATTTTAATATTTGATATTTAATTATAAGACAAAATACTCTACGTGAATTAGACTTTCCACAATCGGGTCGACGAAGTTAGTTTTAACTGACAAATCGAAAGGCATGTTTTATCTGTCATTGTACATTCTACCGGTAGAATGTGCAATTGTTGAAGGAAATATTCTTTTAATTGTGGTATAATAGCACAACAACGGCTTATTACAGCCTTGGAAGAAAATACTGAACTGTATCATCACTACATAGTATATCATCCCGCTGTCTGTCTGTCCCCAGGTATGCTTAGATCTTTAAAACTACGCAAGGAATCTTGATGCGTTTTTTTTAACTAGATAGAGTGATTCAAGAGGAAGGTTTATGTGTATAATACATTGCACCCATGCGAAGCTGGTCTCTAGTAAACTTTAAAATAAGATTATTGAAACTCTTCTTATGAGAGAATGTGGTAAACGAGCAGACGGTAGACATGAAACATGATTACAGTCACCCGTCGGTTGCTGTTGCGTTGAAAATCAAAAGTATTAGACCTTATTAATTCACTCGGCAGATGAGGCTTAAGTATCGGCTCGACTATTCACCGGTCTGTCGCCTTATACAACATAATTTGCTTAGTTTGCAGTTTACACTAGATGTGGTAGTCAGGTAGAGTCGGAAAGTAATATTCTACTGCACAAAAACATGTAGGGTACTTCAGAAGTACTAAATTAGTCTATCACAGTAGATGTTATATCACCAATGGTAGAGTCGGACAGTAATATTCTACTGCACAACAAACATGTAGGGTACTTCAGAAGTACTAAGTTGTTTTATCTCAGTAGATGTTATGTTACCAGTGGACAGTAATACTTTACTGAACAACAAGTACGTAGGACTAATATTGGCTGCATGTGATTCTATACCATTTTTCAGTCAAGCCGTACGAAATTCCTCGCGAGAGTTCGATTAACGACCGGTTTCTTTATATTCTATATACAGATTTATTTTATAACTAGCGATAGGTATTTCACATTAGTTCCATAATACTTACGTCAAAATTCTATCTCCAGTAACCAGATCTATCTGTAGATCGAACATATCAACCGGCCGTTAACCAATACTAGAAATGAATCTTGTCAGAGGATTTTGCCGAATCCTCGTGCAGTGCACCGTCCACTGTACTAAGGCGGTATACTTACGATGCCAGGGCATTCCTTGGCAGGCCACTCGCGTAAGGCACGCGCAAAGTTTAACGTGTAGTCAGACAATTTATCACACGCTTTAACACACTTCCACTGTAACAACACACTTGTGTCGCGAAATGATTTGGTACTCATCATTAATTTAATTCCATATTAGCATTTTTATTGTTCCGTACCCAAAGGGTAAAAGGGACCCTATTACTAATACCCCGCTGTCTATCTGTTTGTCTGACACCAGGCTGTATCCCATGAACCGTGATGGTTAGACAGTTGAAATTTTCACAGAAGATGTACTTCTGTTGCCGCTATAACAAGAAATCCTAAAAAGTAATATTCAAGTTGAGCTTCCAGACAACAGACATGATTTTTTTTGCCGTTTCTATAGATAATTGTACGGAGCCCCTCGTGCGCGAATCCGACTCGCACTTGGCCGGCTTTTAGTATGTTTATAATTAGTTTGATACATGATTTTCTTAAATTATCATTATCGATTAGCTGTCAGCTAGCCGAACTCATTCAAGCTTTATACTCCAAATAAACTCTCATATTGATACATTATAGAAACTTGGTATTGCTTAGTTGAGTCTTCGACAGAAATTTTATTTCCGCTATCAAAGCAGGTACGTTATATTGATAAAAATGGTACATCAAAACTTGGCTTATTCGTTTATCAATGAAATCTGTACTCGGAATTCTTTAAAATTTTTAATTCGATATCTGTTCGCTAAATAAAACCTTAAAGGTGTCAATAACAGAATGATTTCAAACTTCAACACTTTAAAGATTCTGTTACTTACAAACACACACTCTAAGACGGTAACGCATCTGCGCTACCAATTTCGCAATTTTTCAATGTAGGAGTAGCGTGGCAAACGACACGGCGGTTCACCTGATGTTCAGTGATGACCACCGCCCATGGATATTTGTAACACTCATAGATTGCTTGTCACTTGATCCTTCGATACTTCTTAATAATGTGGGCCCCGCTTGTCTCAATCACCAGACAAAACGCAGAAGTATAATACTTCCACATCACGCCGGTATACTGTGAGGTTGTGGTAATTCCCCGGATGGACGTGCCACAGCACGCTGCCATCTCTGCCGTTGCACGAATAGGCAGGCTTGTCCCGGGAAGTACCAGACCTCCGGTACACCGGTGTAAAGTGGAAGTGTTATACTTCTGCGTTTCGTTTAGTGAGTGAGCCAACGGGGGTTGCAGTGGCAATTCAACTGCAACCCTACCGGTGTTATAAGTGTCCATGAGAGGCGGTTATCACTTAACACCATTCCTCATACCTTCATTAGAGCCACTCTCATGTCGTCTTCTCATAAAAAATCGAATTAAATGAAGGGACAAATCATAGTAATATATGACTACGAAAGACACGATGCGCGGCCCATAATTACTGCGAGACAATCCACTTTTTCCCGGCCGAACGACACCGTGCACACTAGCGCCATCTCCAGCCGCTGCCCACAAGCGGTGCTTTTTGCGGGAGCGCAATAATTGCGCGCGGCGTCACGCAAAAACCACCGCTAGGCGGGCTTCGGTGTAAACTCGCATCCAGCAACTGGATCCGAAGACGTTACCGGGAGGCAATTTGCGTTTTTCATCCGCGAACGGGGCCCGCTTTGTCTTCGAACGGCGGCTTTTTGCCGCGCCGGCCCCCGATGCCGATGACGCGACGCCGCCATCTTGGTCCGCGAAAAACTCAAAATCAACATAAATATTTGATCGCGTTTCCCCTTTTTGCGTGCCAGTATTCTGATTCAATTAAGATCGTATCGAGAGGGCCACGCCGTTCGGGATATTAAATATTAATTATTGCTTAGAGGTTCCTCCGTTTAGTAACCGACGCTCGTTTCGGCGGTTCGGATATTTGGTGGTTGATTTGAATTAATAATTGTCAAAAGATGTTTACTGAATTTATAAGTTAAAATAAAAAAAAAAGCAATGGAAAAACTTGCAACGTATATACGGCTGTTATTCGGTATTCGGTCTATTCGGACTTTTTTTATACTCGACCGAATATCGAATATCTGGGTGCCATTTTAATTTATGAACTTTAAGGCCTTTTAAAAAATTAATCGGGAAACTGCAAATATTTATTTTTACACTCATTAAAATACGAATATTATCGAATTGCCGTATTTATAATTTAGACGTGAAAGATTCAGTGTTGAAAATCAAACATTTATATAGTTTAAGGTAAGAGTTTACTCTTTTAAATAAGGCTTTAGATTTTTGATTGTAAAGTGTTATCACCATATAACGGATATTAAACTATCTGCATTCGGCTTTAAAGCTTAATTTTAAGTGAAGTTTGATTTCAAATTGTCCATAACTTTGTAATTAGCTAGGAGGTTATTGTGAAATATTACAATGACATACAAGAAAGTTTAAATCCAACACACCTGAAATATCAAAGACACATAATGATGTTTTATCGTATAATACGTTACAAACATGTCTCTAAACGAATCGTGCATCAACAACATTAACACAAGCAAGTATCAAAACGTTTAGAGCGCAGTTCACAAGCGGCGCAAAAACTCCACTCTACATAGATGACGGAAAAACCGTGGAAACGTTGGAAAAACCGCGCTCACATGCTCCGCCGGCAAAAACCGCAGCGCCAGAGTTCCGTGTCGCTTATAAAAGAGTCAACTTCTTGTCCTAACTCCACGACGCCGTGTTGATGATTTTACGGAAGACCGATGTGTTCAGAAGACGAAAGAAAACTAAACTATTTTAGCCATAGTTAATCACTCGATGATATTCTTTCGATGTCAAAGTTCGAATATCAAACAATAACTGTCTCTCACGGCAGAGCACGTGCTTTCTATCTGCACTACTTGAAAAATATTGTGTGATGAACATTGTTTTTCCGTGTCTGTGTCTGGGTTTTTTATATAACAAATAAGTATTTATATGCAAAACATAAGTATATTTACAGTTGCCTAGTTATTCATATTACAATATTTGCAGCGCGTGGGTCAAAGCTTGTCGGAATTGACCAGTCGGAACAGACAAAACGGTGGGAGGAACTTAATTGCTGAAATAAAAAATGAAACAACCTTAACATGCTGAAAGGATGATATTTTTTTCATCTCTCGATTACGCGGGCTAAATGACAGTTTTATTTTATAATTATGGAGCGATTGATCATAGAACTTGCAACCATAGTGAGTTTTATTTTAATTAATTGGATTTATTGTCGCATTTACTTCATACCTGAATTCTCAATTTCCAGGATCAGGGTTTGTTTCTGTAGAATTTTCTATAAAGTAAAAATAACGCATCTGGAACCCTCGGGTGTAGAAGATGTGCATGGGCGGCGGTATTCAATTAACATCATGTGAACTGCCTGCTCGCTTGGCAATTTTTCATATAAAAAAAATAACTTCCTGTAAAATAAATATTAAAAATATGTAATGAATACTGTAACCCATATCTTAGTCTATGGTAAGGATTGCTTATTCCAACAATTGTTATGAATAATATAAGAACTATATTAATTTTAATTAACAAAAGAAACAGCCAACAGCTTTTCCTTCGCGTGTTAACGTCTTTCGCCAAACCCGTTACTTACGGTGTTTTAAAAATAAGCACTCGTGACTTTTTTGTGACAGGTACTTTACCAAAGCTTTTAGGAGAGTGATTGGGCTCTCAAGTCATATGACGTTACTAATGAAAAAAAATTGCGGATTTCGAATGTTAAATTTAATGAAAACGCTCCCTTATCAGATGCTTGGAAAACAAAATTCTCCTTTACTTATCTTCGCAAAATTACGGTTTGCGCATTGGTCAGCATTTCGTGAAATTGCCATGCACTGCCCCTCGGGAGGAAGTAATATTGCAAGGTTGACATAAAATTAAGAAACTATTGACTTAAAATTCTCGCTACTGTTAAACTTATTCCACACGTTTTGAAAGAAACAGTGTTTAGAGATATATCCAGTTACTATATCGGAAGCCTTTTCTTAATATGGTGGTCGAAATATTATTTTTAGTCTACAGATTAAGTTCGTTCATAAAATATTCTCATTATACTAGTATAATATAATAAGTTCGGAGAATTGGCTTTAGGCAATGTTCCATCGCTAAAGGGCTAAACAAATTTAACTGTGAAACACGTCAGTACCTGTTATACAGTTTATATGAATTAAATATAACAAAGTGCACCTTGGTCCAGCTTTAACATAAAAAAATCCTTATTCAATATCGTAAGTCGTTTAAATAAAAAAGAAAGGGCAATTTAAAAATTCTTCAATATGTTAAAATATTATTCCTCATTTCACTGCCGCGATAAAACATACTCAATATACCAACATGGCTGTTCCGATCCCCGCATAATGTTGCCATAAGCCGGGCTGAAAAACAAAAAAGAGTATTATGTAAATAACTGAATAAAAATGCACGCCGCAAAAAAAAAAGCTCCTTGCGAGGTTTTAGTGTAATAATAAAATATAAGTATGTCGGCCGGCTCGCCTGAAAAACCCGACGGAACGAAACGAAACGGGGGTTGATTAAAAAAAATCTCGGCGCGTGAGGAGAACTAAAGCATGAGCGGTTCCGTACAGATTAAAAATTCTGTTTGGTAGTTTTCATTAAGAAATGATCGATATAAAATTTTCTTGAATGCTCAACAGGTAATAGGAAAAATGATGCACAATATTTGTATAGACCTTCACTTAATGTAATGTAATAAATGTAATAATTTATTATCTCTGATAGAATTGTATGCGTATTTTTCAGCATATTAAGTTTTTTTATGCGATACGGCGCCAAGCGTGATGTTGAGTGATAACCCTTATTTAACCCTTAGTTATATAGGGTTGCAGATGCGTCGCCACCTTCAAATAAATTGGGCCCCGTAAGTCTCAAAATTCGTAAAGAAATTATTTTGTGCAGAGCCCGCCCAAACGTCGTGGCGTAATTCTTTTTCCCGCGCACACGGCGGAACCCGCGACGTCTGTTACTTTCGGGCGTCGTTTTTACAGCGGCAGACGGCCCGGAGCCGGTCCTCGGTTACGAGAGCGCTTTAAGGGTATCCGACGATAAACCACTGGGGCATTGTCGCACTAATTCGGTAGTGTACGGGCGCGGGGCGACGACGCTTTTGGCGCGCTTCTCGTCGTTCCCGCCAAATCGTTGACGCGTCGCCATCGGGAATATAGGTTATGAGATCTTGGCTGATTATGACATTGTTTTCTCATTTATTGGGCATGACCTAGGAGTAATTTAAGTACTGTAACGATGTTTTATTTTACTTACTAACCGACGTCATGACTGCCAACAATGAGGTCAAAATTCATTATTTGTAAGCCTTGTTCACTTTTGAATTTCATAATTCCATGCCACCTCACTTATTTGTTGATCTTATAGACCGACGCTTGTGCATTATAGTTAATTCTTATTTTATTTCATGACTATATTGCGTTATTAATAAAGTTACGGAAGGCTTGGATTGTAAAGTAAAACTGTGGCTGGAAAGTTTATAAGTATACTAGCGACCCGCCCCGGCTTCGCACGGGTGCAATGCTGAATGTTTGTTTTCGACATCGCATTAGAAACCTTTAAAATTAACAGTGTTTCTCTACTGTATTATGAGACTACTGTATTAAGAAAGTGTACAAGATTCCAATACATATTACCAAAACATTTTTTTCATGTAAGAAGATGTTAAGTGAGCTTGCAGCGCACATGATCTCATGTGATAGCCACCGCCCTAGAATAAATTTACAATTTAGTGTCGCTCTTAACTGTAAACTTAATTGCGTAAGAAGTTCTACGCAAATCCATTTAGTAATTATTGAGGTCCTTAGTAGGACAATAATAGGTTAGCGAGTTTCCCGTCTATATTGCAATAAAATTAACATCCTAATAGACGGTACCCAGTTAAGAAAAGTTTTACATTGTTATTTGCCACAAAAGATCATTGGGGAATATCGTGACAGGTGGCGATTATGTCGCCGGGTTAGCTTCCCAGCTTATCTTTATCCTATAACTGTCATATATAATGACAGTTATGGGATAAAGCATACCTATGTATGTGTCTCATTAATTTTTTTCTCATTCATTTCTTTGAAAGCTTATTCTCAACTATATCTTGAATGACAGAAAAAAATATTATATCCAATATTTTTGAAATTTTTACATCCTAGATTTGAAACCGAACCTGGTGACAAGAGGACTGGTTCTTTTCTCAGTTTAAGCAAAAAGGGTTAAATAAAACTATTTAGCGAGCAAATACAGCTAGTGATCTATGGTTCTAGGCACCATGCCGTGTGTACTAGGTTCATTATAATATGCAATTTAGATAGATTTAATCTTGTAAATATTGTATATGAAAATAAATTAAATTAATTATTTAAAAACTTTTAAGTTAAACGGTTTTATTTTATGTGCACTGAAAACTACAATATTGTATTGTCATCTAAATTAAATGTGTGTACCAAATTTCAGATCAATTTGACAACGGGAAGGTGCTTTAATTTCAATTTCTAATTTTGACCCAAATAAATAAACAAATTCCGTATGGGTCGAGCTAAATAAAACCGTTTAAAAACACATAATACATGTGTTTTTTATACACCAACATAAAATATAAAAAAGAACATTGTTTTTAATTATTGTTTTTTTCCTTACCTTCACACTTAATGTCAAAATGCGAAATACCGCGTCCGCCATTTAAAAGGCAAAAGTGCAGCGACAGTAAGGCCAAAGAATTGGGCGGCCAAATCGACTCAAAAAGGACTTGCACGGGAAATTGTTTGGTGCCGTTTGGAATAACGCATCATGCGTCGATTTGCTTACTATGTGCCGGGACTATTTACACACGCGACAGGGGAACTTTTTACGCTTGCCTGCCTTGTTTGTGTTCGTGTACCCTGGCGCGCCGGTGACAACGCGTTTTTACCGACCCCCACAGTTGCCATGTACGCTGTATGGAATTCAGTTAAAGTGTAAGATGGTTAAATTGAACTTCGCAGTTATTCGCGCCAATTAATTCCTTCATCTTAGGCATGTTTATCTGGTGCCTCCGACGCATCTGCGAACTTGTACTATTTATGAAGTGTTTTTACGTTGTTTACAAAGCGCTTTGTATTTGCATAAAAGCATGAATAAATTACGAGTAATATATGGGGCTACATTAAATTTATTCGAAATTTATTGGATGAGTCATAGTAAGTAGTAGAAATGCGTAGAGAACATAATTTTCCGAAAAAAATTATTGAAAAGTATATATACTTTCTATGATCGTAAATCGGAACAATTTGATTTTGCATATTCATTATTATCTGTGTAGAGATAGAGTCTAAATTAGTAATTGGGGCGGGAAAGCGTCCGAATGAACGGAATGTCGTCCGTCATCCCTGGTATTTAATAGCAGCAAAGTAATTGGATCAAAAAATAAAAAAACATCTGATAAAGGATCAAGCAGTGGTTTGTACAGCTTGCCCCGACAAATGTACACTCGGTTACGCAGAGATGCGTTCTTCATCATCGTCGCGGCCCGCGCTTCTTTCTTCTTGATTTTTTTTCGGTTCCCCATTCATTCGTGCTCCATTCTTGAATCGGCTTATTCGACAATGCAATGCCCGTGAATATGCAAATCGCGTTTAATTGTCTCGGGCGGCGGTTTCTTTATTATCGTTTGCGCTGCGGTCCGAAAAAGCGCGCGTCTGACGCATCTGTCATTTTCGATATTAGAACGGCCCATCGCGCACGAGGAGGTTCCGTCGAAAGAATGGAACCGGGCATAGACAATCGCCCGTTTTTTACCGCGCTTTTTAATTTGCGTCTACAGATCGAGTTTGCTCGTACACTTGGACTCATTTGTGTTGTTATTAAATAAAGCTCGGCCATCGCCCTACTGAACGGATGTCGCTGAATTTTCATGGGCGAAGCTTTTGTATCACACACAATTACGCATCGGCCGTTGGCTTTTTCGCGGTCACCGTGCAATCTTCATTTCATATCACAAAAACTGTCGCCGACACCGCGCATATACCTTTATCGGATCGGGCGCGCGTGTGTGTGTGTGTGTTTTTTTCCACCGTTGTTAATTCCGCAGATAATGGCCGGAGTCAAATGACCGCGCCGCAATAAGAAATCGCGGGAATTTCAGCGATGCCCGCGCAGTCTTTTAAGCGCGCTTTTTGCGCGGGCCTGGGCTCGGGCGGCGGCGGTTTTCGGTGTTTTTTGCAAATCCCCGATGAAAACCGTAATGGCATTTTATCGTGCATAAGAGCGGGAGGAATCATTAATTATTTATAATAGTCGGCTAGCGCCGAATCACGTCTACCGTGTTTGTTTTGTGCGCGCCGCGTCCGCGACGTGTGTTTTGTGACAGCGACATCGACGTTTTCGCGCGCTGCCACGAGGAGCACACGATAAGGAACGGAGATAATTTCATATACCACCTGCTTTCATTACTTTACTAGTTTCTGTACTTATTATAACTTTATAACGGCGACCGTTATTTTAAGTATTTTTTTGTGTGTGCAAAGTTGTCAAGCGAGTAGGTGGATCCCCTGATGCTAAGTGACTACCGCCGCCCATGGATATCTGCAACACCTAAGGGCGTTTGGAGATGCGATGACAATCTTTTAAAAATGGGCCCCGATTACCTTGATAGGGTCTTTTGTGAGGCCGGCGAGGTACTTCCTCGGATAAGCCTGCCCATTCGTGCAACAGTAGAAGCTGCTGCGTGGCTCTACCACAGTTGAAATGTATAGGACAAATCCTATCTTTTTGATAGATGTGCGTGAAGGTTTTGTTGCTTACATGCGATTCAATCATATTAAAATGCAGCTTTATATTATATTTTACAACCCGTCAAAAAGAAGTAATGATAACGGGATGAGAATTAAAAAAAAAATGCAAAAGCACAGCGGAAAAGCGACCGCAACTGGCCGGCGAGGCAAACGCATCGAGAGACGCGGTAAAAAAAAACATTAAACGCTAAATGAGCGTACTTATGAGTAGAAAGCTGTGCGTGGCCTTCGCAAAAACGACCCACAAGCACCTGGCAGCCATCGGCGGAGCTTGTTGGGCGCGTAAACAGTTTTCGAGGCGGCAAAAGCGACTGTCGCGTTCGCCGAGCAAAAAGCAGTAACCTCATCGACTTTATCGGCACCGTAAATGGTCTTTTCTTCTTTTGGACGAACCCACATCGCACGGTGTCATGCCCAGCACTATCTGTTGTATGACAGTTATGGTTGGATTTAATCATTTTCATTCTTAAAGAACTAGATATCATGGGCTATTCGGCAATTTTGGTCGATCTCACCCTATAATATAGATACCCCATAATAGAACCCATATTAATAATAGATTGAGAGTAAATCACATTTTTTTTCTATACCGACTGTAGAATAAAGTTTTCCCGTGTTTTAAGGACGTTTTACAAACATAAAGTTGAAGAAACAATTGTCTGTGAGTCCCACAAACAGTTGTCCCACGTGGGAATCGAACCAACGACCCACGACGCCGAAGCCAGTCTTGACCACTGCGCCACGGAGCCATCTCTGTTTAAATTAGCACAGCTAACTTATAATAACACTTGTGCAGTAAAACCTATATCCAGATCAAACTTATAGATAAAAACCATTGTAAATTAGGATAATTGTTCTCTCTATAATTTGTGTACTGAACGAACGTTTATTTAGTTAATTTACTAATTTAAGTTATAATGCTGCAAAGGTGGTGGTCATTTTCTTAGGGAACAAATATTTGCATGATCAACTGATGACAGATAGCCTTTGCGGATCAGGATGTTCGTGCATACAATTTATGCAAGCGTATGTAGATACAATCGTAGGATAAACGTAGTCTTTTTTTAATATAGAAAAGGAGAAAGGTTCGAAATTAGTTAAATTAAAGTTTTTTCAACACTGCAGTCTCTGCGGTTACGGAGTTACTATTAAATCCAATAAGTCATAACATATGCATTGAGCCTCTTGGCGTCGTACGCTAGGGCACTGAAGCTGAGCAAATTATCATCTTACAGTCAAGGCATCCACCGTGATGAAACAAACACTTGGCGGGTATTCAATAGACAATAACCACAAGCGACGGTACATAACGAGCAGACGATAAAATATTCGACATTATTAATTTGCGCAGACAGTAAAATTTAATATGCAA